AAATTAAAATATTTAAAAAATATAACTCTTTTAATGAAATATTTACTAAATTAATAAAAATTCTTTCCTTAAATCTGTTAAATAATTATAAAAAATCAATTTATAATAAAATTAAAGCAACTTCAAGGAAATTTTAATTTTAATTATATATATATATATATTAATTTTTTTTTATACATAAAATTAAAGCAACTTCAAGGAAATTGTGTAGATAAGATACATGTATTTCAAAAAGTTGATAGCAAGTACGTGGATGGAGAATCTTTATGTCTTAGCTGTCAAAGAAAATATGTTGGATTCAGTAAATGCTATCCTTTTTTTTTTTTCTGTAAAATCATATTTTATAAAAAATTAATTTTTTTAGAATAAATAAATAATAATAATACTATAATTTATCTTACTAATTCACATATTTGAAAAATAATATAATTATATTACAAATAATTTTGAAATATTAAAACTTAGGTTGCACAGTTAAATTATACAAATATGAAATAATAAATTAAATTTAGTATTATTTTTTTTGGTCTTGAAATAATTCTGATAATAAAATAAAAATAAAAATGAATTATTGTACATGAATTTTCCAAATAGATCATCTGATTGAGTGCATATTCCTTCAGAAAAGAGAAAAAATAAATTATTGATCGCCTGGAAATTACTATCATTTGCCTCTAAAGTCACGATAGCTTTGCTTGGGATGCTTGGTCTCTGAATCATCTTTAAAGTAAGTACAATAATTAAAAGGCAACAGAATATACACTGTTCACTCATAAATGAATATAAAATAAAAAGTAAAAAGACAACAAAATATTCAAGAAATTGAAGCATATTGGAAAGATGAGCTGGCCAACAATTAATATATCCAGTAGTATTAACTGTTTTAATAACTATCAATTATTTTATTTATAACGGTTTAAAGAAAAAATATTCGGTATAAATATTTGTTTAATTAAATGTTCGATATAAATATATGTTTAATTAGTTGTTTAATATAAAACGATAAAAAAATGTGTAACAAGTTAAATACAAATGATGAGTATATATGTCATAAAAAAATGATAAACATTAATAGAGATAACATTTCATGAAACATTTTCTCAAGCCTCTAAACACTAGTTAGAGCACCCTTTTTTTTTTTGCATATATTTCAAAATCTTCATCAGGACTCTCTTATTAATATTCTTATATGTGCCTATGTTGTTAATTTAATTGTTATGTTTTATATCTAAGTTAAAATTTTGAAAATATATCTTATGAGTGTGATCGTTTATCCTCAAAATCAATTTTTATATTTTGTTTCTTTTAATATTGTAGTATCGAAATAAATTTATTTGTTTTATGAATAATTCTTATTAGTAAAGTTACTTGGAATTTGGATGCATGATCAATGTTACTCTATTGGAGTATGTTGGTAATTCTACATCAGATAAATACAACTAACTAAAAGAATATATAATACGAAATGTGAACCAATCAAAATGACTTAGAGCATTTTTTGTTAAAGATAAACTCAACTCATTATAAGCTAAGATTAAATATATAATTTTTTTTGAATAATAAGATTAAATATATAATTGAATTTGATTTGATTAGTTTGCTCCTAGGGCACAGATTCTCAACATCCTCACATATAATATTATTGTTTTTATAAATTTTAAATTGCATAAATTGATATTTTGTGTTATGCTTTTTTATTATCAAAAATTAGCACAACAAGACATAACTTAATGGTAAATGCATATATGACCTGACAATAAATTGAGGTTTGAATCTCATTCTTCAACACTCAAAAAAAAAAAAAAAAAATAGGTATTATATATAAAAAACTTTCACTCTGTTTTTTATAGATTTTTAGAATATAGCGAGATTAGTATTTTGTATATCTCTTGTGTTATGCTTTTTTTATTATCAAATTAGGCAGCAACAAGACATAACTTAATGTGCTCACACAATAGCAGCTATATGCCACCTGACAGAAATAGATATGTTAGTGAGTCTTTGCACTACTTCATTTCTGCAAACACTGCAAAAAAAAAAAAACAAAACTAAGCACTTTTTCCTAGATTTATACACCGGGCTAAATATTCTTTCTTTCTTTATAGATATATATTTATATATTATAAACTCCGTTAGAGGTCCAGAACACAAATCTGCCAAGCTTATTCAAGCTCTGTGGAATTTAGTAAGTAAATTGGTAATTTTTGGTTTAGATCTATGAGAACTCAATCGATACTCGGCATTACACTACAGACCACTCACACTATATTCATGATAAGGACTAATAGGTAGACAAGTCGGCGAGACACCCTTAGGCCATGGGAGGCCTCCCACGATCTTAGAGAAGAAACGGGGATGAGCCCCAAACGATCTATGCAAAGGCGCGGTACATCTCCTAACTAGCCAGATTTTGTGTCTTGTGGTGCCAAAGCCTGCTTCGCATTTGTTGAACATATACTCCGCGGTAGGAGTGCGAGCTGAGCTTGCAAGCCGCGTGAGAGAGCGGATAATACATAGACATGGAGTACATAAGGGGATAACAATATTAGGTAATCGAAGAGCCGACACCTGTGCCCTCTGCCAGGGGATGGGGGCCAGAACTCAGCAGGACGCTGAGTCCCCAAGGGGGCGGTCTGTTTATGGTGGGCTAAGGCAGCACACCTTAGGCAAATCCCACATCGGTTTAAGGACGGGGTAAACGATCTATATCACTAACCGCCCAGGGGTAGCTTCATACTTGGTTATCCGTCCGCTCTCTCTCGGCGGTCGCACAAGCCTGCGGACGGGACAGGAGGTAACTCACGTGACTTCTTGCCGCTTTTGGGCGGGTTGCAAAGCCTGCCTGAGGGACAAATCCGTGAGGCTTGCAAAGCCTAAAGCGGACAATACTGACCAGGTCAGGGCTATGACAACTAAACTTTAAATAAAAATTTATATGAAGTCTTCAAACTATAATCATACTTCCAGCCTTCTATCTGTAAGATTAAGAATTTGAAGCCTTCTATCTGTAAGATTAAGAATTTGAACTTTACCGGTGCCGTCGCTATTAAGATGACTTTACCTAAATATCATTCTCAATCTAATAATGAAAATACTTATGTGAAAAAAAAAAAAACTATTATTAACTAGTTAGTTCGGGTGATAAGTAATTCTAATATCCGCGAAAAGACACTCCAAAAGGCTAAAAATATTTACACTCTATTTATAATTTTATTTTAATGTTTTGGTAAATTATTTGGATAGTTTTAATTAACCAAGTTGATTCACCACCACCAATTTTAAAAAGACACAGCAATAGTGGACTGATACTTTTTTCTTTATATAATTAAAAAAAAAAAGAATTCGAATCGAATATATCATCACATCTTATATGTATTTATCAAGTTATGCCTTAGTGTGGTTGTGTACTAATACTCGCATTTGTCGTCCAAAATGAGGGCTTTCGGTTAGACAAGAACTTGTTATGCAGGTCAAGTGAAGTCTTCGTCAAGTCCTGTTGACTTGAAGTCAATCTTGAATTCATTAAAGATATTGTATTGCTCAATCCAATTAGTAAATTGAAAGGTCTATCTGTCTCGTGAACAAATAGATTGTCTTTTTTTTTTTTTTTTTTTTTTTGGTCTTTTTTTTTTTTTTTTTTTTTTGAATAAATGGACCGTTTTCATAAGTGGTGTCTAAACTTGCAATGTGACATACACGACTGACTATAATCAGAATTGAGAACTAATTTTACTTCAGAGCGTAAAAATACTACTGGGACCAGACTTGCTTTTATGTTTCAATTTTTTGAGATAAAAAATATTTATTCTGAGATTTTATGTTTCAACTGGTTGAGATAAGAAATGTTTATTCTGTTAACTTATATATGAGAAGTTTAATGGATCAGAATAATGTTGTGAGGGGTCGCCATTTTATTTGAATAATATTCATCAAATCAGTGATAAATTTTTATGGTGTAGAATATTTAAATTTGGGATCCCTTACTCTTTACATTTTTTAGATATTATGTGTTGTTTTAAACAAAGTTTAAAAAACAAAATAATTATAGTGACACATGATATAAAATATCTTTACTTTTTCAAAATTGTCCTCTTTTAAAATAAAATAGAACATTAAAAAAAAAATCTCTTAAATTAATTTGATAAATATTTTAACATCTAAAAGTGAAAAATATTGACAAATATTTCAAGACACGTGAAGTAATTCACATCATGTCATGTCCCTACCCACGCATACTCCATCGTTCAATTCTCTCTCTCTCTCTCTCTCTCTCCATACTCATTCGTTCATTCTCTCTCTCTCTCTCTCTCTCTCATTCTCTCTCTCTACTAATATATATATATATATATATATATATATATATATAATATACACACGCCTATTTCTTCGAGAAAATAATTCACTTTTTATTTATTTTTTATTTTTACAGCAGATTAAGAGAATAATAATTATTATGATTAAAATAATAATCATTATCTATAATTTTAAAAATAATTCACTTTTTATTTTTATTTTTTATTTTTACACAGATTAAGAAATAATAATTATTATGATTAAATAATAATCATATTCATATAATTTTTTATTATGCTCATTTTAAATAATACATAAGTAATTATCATATTAGAATAGTAAATAAAATTTAATAAAGATATAATACATAATTTAAGGATTAAATATAATATAAAAAAAAAAAATTATATTTTAAGACAAATCAAAAAGGAAAAATGGACCGTTGTATTCTTTTGGAAGGGAGAGCATATTTTTTGAATAAATTTATTTAAATACGAGGCATTGTGTATTGGGCCACACAATGGGCCTGAGACACCGTGCCCAATAATGATAAAAGAACAAGCACTAACTCCAAATACCCAAAACCGGAAAAGGAGTCCAAAAAGCCCGCAAAGTCAAACTAAAAAGCGGTATTCGATTACGATTGACGATATTTGCGCGGACACGCGTTCAAAAGCAATTCGCCATAACAAAAATGTCAAAACCCACCTAATCTATCTGATCCCACTGCTAGCATGAGCTCGAACGCACTGGATAGTCACACCATACTACTCCAGTAGCCAGTTTCTTAGCCTGTCCTGTGTACTGCACTTGGTTAGTCCCGCGAGAAAATCTTATCGCAGATTGTAAATCTGTGCACTGTAATATTCTTCCTTTCTAATTTTGTTTCGCTTTCTCTTTCTCTTTCTCTGCTTAGGATTTTGTTATTTTTGTTGAAGTCACCATCTTTACCTGTTTGTGTTGTTTCTGGGTCGGGTTTCTGCAGAGTTTGATCGAGAAATGAAGCAAAAGAGCGACCGAATCAGCACTACAAAGCTACTAACTTATGTTCTAATAGGATCCATTGTTTTTCTCGGGTTGGTTTGTTTGTACTACGGATCTTCTTTCGCTCCTGGACTCTCAAGATCCGATGATTACTCTTCAAACCATGACGGAACCGACCCATTCCTAGGCGGATTCTCCCGGAGCAATGATCTTGATGATTTTTTTCAAGAGCAAATCCCGCAAAGTATTCCTGTACGCTGAATTATTTGATTAAGATGTATTTATTCAATTTGTGCTATTTCATTTGAATTTGTGTTATTTTAATTGAATTCTGTTGTTTGGTCACTACAGATCTGTGACATAAAATACTCGGAGTTGATACCTTGTTTAGATAGAAATCTTATATATCAACTGAAATTGAAGCCTAATTTGACGTTGATGGAGCATTATGAACGGCATTGTCCTCCGCCGGACCGGCGGTTTAATTGTCTTATTCCACCGCCGGTTGGCTACAAGGTTAGCGAGAGTTGTTTTGCATGTGAGTGTTTATTTTAGTTTGGTTTCAGTTAGTTTTGATTGAACGAAATCATTTTTAGAATTCCAGATTCCAATACGATGGCCTGAGAGTAGAGATGAAGTGTGGAAGGCAAATATACCCCACACGCATCTTGCAGAAGAGAAGTCTGATCAGAATTGGATGGTTGTGAATGGGGATAAGATAAATTTTCCGGGTGGTGGAACACATTTCCATTATGGAGCTGATAAGTACATAGTTTCTCTAGCCAAGGTAATTTAATTATTATTTTTTGTATCTTCCTTTTTGTTTGCTTACTTAAAGAGAAATGCAATGGATTTGAAATGGTTAATTAAAATACAAAGTATGATGATGGGATTGGTGCTTTTTATTCTTCATTTAAATTAATGACAACTTAGGCCTGTTTGGTAAAGTTTTAGTATTGGTGGTTGTTAAAATATAAAATAACCAAGCTCCAAAATAATGGAATCAGCAGTTGATAACACATCTAAGTTAGCTGTTGGGTATAGATCAATTAAACAGCCGCATGAAACAGCTGAACCAAACATTCCTTTAACTCACTTGTCTCTCTGGTGCTATTAGTTTTAGCTTAACTATGAATTAAGGATTTTGTTACACTATTCATTGTTTATTGTTTTGTTCTTATCAAACTTATACCTCTAATTATTTCGCATAGATGCTTAGATTCCCGAATGATAAACTTCATAATGGTGGGAATATCCGGAATGTTCTTGATGTTGGTTGTGGGGTTGCAAGTTTTGGGGCTTATCTTCTTGCCCATCACATTATAGCTATGTCTCTTGCGCCTAATGATGTGCATGAAAATCAAATTCAATTTGCACTTGAAAGAGGGATTCCATCAACTCTTGGTGTCTTGGGAACAAAGAGACTTCCTTTTCCAAGCAGATCATTTGAACTGGCTCATTGTTCAAGATGTCGGATTGACTGGCTCCAGAGAGATGGAATTCTCTTATTAGAACTTGATAGAGTACTCAGACCAGGAGGATATTTTGCATACTCTTCTCCTGAAGCTTATGCACATGATCCAGAAAATCGAAGGATTTGGAACGCTATGCATGATCTTTTGAAACGAATGTGTTGGCGGGTTGTTGTAAGGAGAGATCAGACTGTTATCTGGGCAAAGCCCACAAGTAATAGCTGTTTCTTGAAAAGAGAACCTGGAACCCAACCCCCTTTGTGTAGCAGCGATGATGACCCAGATGCAACTTGGAATGTACTTATGAAGGCATGCATTTTTCCATTTTCATCAAGTAAGCTGCATTGCACTTTGCATTCAATGCGGAGTGTACATTTCTGGTTATTTTCTCCTTAAACTAAATTGGTGGTGTTTTTTCTTTCCTTGGCCATTTTCTTATACTTGCTGCTAATTGCAGAGATGCACAAGGAAAGAGGCAGTGGACTAGTTCCTTGGCCACGGAGGCTTACTGAGGCACCTCCACGCTTGGAAGAAATTGCCGTCAGTCCTGAAGTATTCCATGAAGACACTGTATGTTTCTAAGTTTTTGGCTCTGCATAAAATTATTATGTATTCATCACTTTCTCTTTGGTGCTTTCCTTTGTTAGTTGACAGCTGATTCATGTGGTGCAGATGCTATGGCAGTTTAGAGTGAACGAGTATTGGAAGCAGATGAAATCTGTTGTACGGAAGAACTATTTTAGAAACGTCATGGATATGAACTCAAACCTTGGGGGTTTTGCTGCTGCTCTCAAAGATACAGATGTCTGGGTGATGAATGTTGCTCCAATCAACCAGTCTGCTAGATTAAAGATCATTTACGATCGTGGTTTAATCGGAACTGTTCATGACTGGTACGCATGTAATAGTACTAATACATTTCTGCACTCTGACATGTTTTCCCTATTGGTATTTAGACATTTTTGCTGATAATTTCTAGATCCTGTTATTACAATATCTTAATTCTCTAACAAGGGTGTGTTTGTACATCATATGTTACACCAAGGAGATTGATAAATTCAATCTATAGCAAGAAAAAAAGACTTACAATTCATAAATTGATGATGGATGAATCTTTAAATAAATGGATTCTGAGATTGGAGGTTTTTATTTATTTATTTTTCGGGTGGGTGGGGGAATAAAAACATGCCATCCAATGCATTTTTTGTGATGAACAAGGGAGTAAATTGTTTGTGTTCCTGCAGAAACTTCATTTAGAAGTGAGTAATTTGAACTTAAAATTATGGTTTATGGAGTGGAACCGAGTATTCTTACTTCCTGTTTTCCTTATGGAATAGTTTTCTTTCCAAATTTTATTAGCAAGCATAATTTCTTTTTCTTCCTTTCTTCTGTTGTTATGATGTCATGTTTTTCTCTCAGTAACTGTAGAATAAAAGGCTGCATAATATGTCATTCAGGACTCAGCATTATAGACATTATGTTTATGTTCCCATGTATCTCATACTATTATTAATTACAGGGAGCTTGTGCCGTGGAATCCACTAGTGCTCTCTCTCAATGGATGTATTCCTCCAGTTTTTCTCCATTTGACATGATTCTTACTGTTTCTATGTTTAATAGGTGCGAAGCATTTTCCACATACCCACGTACTTATGATCTTCTTCATGCCTGGAAAATATTTACTGAGATTGAGGAGCGTGGGTGTAGTTTAGAGGATCTACTAATTGAAATGGATCGGATACTAAGGCCAGATGGGTTTGTCATCATAAGAGACAAACCGTCAATTGTAAACTATATCCGCAAATCTGTTACTGCCTTAAAGTGGGATCATTGGTTATCAGAAGTTGAACCAAGGAGTGATGCTCTCTCCTCAGGTGAAGAACGAGTTTTGATTGTGAGAAAGAAGTTATGGAGTGCAGATGATTCCACAATGTGAATATAGCTACGAGGTATATATGCTCTTTCTAATTTCTTCCTTTGCAGACATGGATTCGTTTTTTTTGCTTTTTTACTTGCATTGTTACATTAATTGAATACCAAAAAGATTGTAAATACATAGCATATAGAACCTTTATGTTTCTAGAAAGATATACAAAGTCTTTCTTTTCCCCTCAAGTATCCTCATACTCATTTTAGTATGAGACCAATATTGTTTCGGAATTTGTGGCTGTGCCTCCCCGGACGTGCTTTTCCACGGGTGCTATGTCTTTTTGAGCAAGTAAAGGTAATTAAAATCTTCTCTAAAATGATTTTAGTGTACTTTTATTGCCTTGAAGGCAGTCTGCAGCACATTTTGGAGCCGTTCTTTTGAGAGACACGATGGTAGTAGAATCCAGGAATTGTATTCTGGATCCATATTCAGAGCAGGATCGTTGGCAGAGATGGGCCTGCCGCGGGGATTGATATGATCATATATAATTGAATATGCAAGCATGAAACATGACAGGAGATAGATACGAGCAGCTCTCCTAGGTGAGAGGAAAACAGAAGCTTCTATTCAAAGTATGACTTAGAAATGATTTTCTATTTTATTTGTTTGGATGCAATTGTTTAGACTGATATAACATCAGAGCTAACCTGTGGAATTTACATTGCTTAATTTTTATAAAAATTACTCTTTTTTTTTTTCTTCTTCTTCTTCTAAGGGCATGCCTTGGCTCATCATTTTCTCATTTATTTGATTGACTTTCCCCTTGTGGGGCTGGTAGGAAAAATTGTCGAATGTGACTTGCGAGATTCATATGTGATCCATACAAATCTAAATCCTCTGTGCACAACTTAGGCATTTTTTTTTCTCTTCAATTAATTTGATTACTAAAGAAAATCTTTTGAATACTGAAAGAGTGGTTGGTGACACTGTAACTGAAGCACCCACTGCATAATTCAAACCCAATGAAATTGATATTCTTTAGTAAGAGCAAAAGTATAAATAGAAAAAGCCACCTAATTATGAGATTAGATGACAGAATTTTATTTTCTCTTAATTAGAAGTCTCAAATTCGACCTCAAAATATAGTTGGTTTAAACATTTGGGCCAATGGATTTTAAAAGCAAGATGGTTTAAAAAAAAAGAAAAAAAAATATAAATTTAATAAAGTTTAAAACTAGAATTGAGGTACTGATATGTTTTGTTTTTTAAAAATTATTAATAAAATGTTCATGGGAAAAAAAATTAAATTTTGAGAACTGAGGCAATCACTGGCTCCAGAGTCCAGACTCCCAGATGATTCCGTCCTGCAAGGAAGTCGTGGACACATGAAATTCAACTGAAGTATTATAGAAAAGATATTTTGTCGTTGAAAAATTTTTGTACCAGTTGCCTAACTACTCTTGACAAAAAAAAAAAAAAAAAAAAAAAAAAAAAAAAAAAAAAAAAGCCCAAGAAGTCAACTCCAGATGATCCGTCCTGCAAGGAAGTCCGTGACACGTGAGAATTCAACTGAAGTATTTATAGCAGATATTTGTCGTTGAAAAATTTTTGGACCAAGTTGCCTAACTACTCTTGAGCAAGAAAAAAAAAATAAAAAAAAAAAAAAAAAAAAAAACCAAATCGTACATAAATTAGATATCATGCTACGTATTAAAATATAGTTTTAAGAGTAAACTAGATGTATAACTAGATAATGGATATAAATTCAATTCCTTCCCTTATATATTAAGAAAACAAGAAGACAGACATGAACATCACTATTTTTTTTTTTTTTTTTTGTTTTTTATGAATTGCAGAAATTTTTTTTTTTTTTTTTTTTTTTTTTATGAATGCAGAAAAGGGAATTAACCAGAATTACAAAGGAATTATGTGTTTAATAAGATATATGGTTGGATTTTTTTTTATTGAAATTGTCATAATTTTAATAAATAATATATCGAATCTATGTATTATGTTTTCTATTAAAAAAAAAAAAAATCTAATTGATTAATCAGATTCGATTCTCAGAGCAACATCACCCAACCCGACATTCGATTCAGAAAGCATTGGTGCCCAGCTCTAGTGTGAGGGTACAATGCACATAGGTGATATATCATACAATGAAGTTGTCCATTTGTTGAAAAGTCGTTTTTGAAAAACGACAAGTAGTTATCCACATAATAAAAAGGCAGGAATAAGAAAAAGGCAGAGGCAGGAGCAGGGCAAATGGCAAAAACGAGAGGAATAGGTCTCAGGGACGAGAAGTCACATGGTAATGTTCCCGCGTAGTTCGGTCCAATAATCAATCAAAACAGAGATCTTTTTTTAATAATTAAATAATAAAGAATTTTCATTCCAATTCAATTTCCACATCATCATCATCATCATCATCATCATCTAATTATCTTCAATAAATACCAAATAAAGAACACTGCTTTAATTAGATCTTCTTCTTTAATACAGAGAGCTATTGCTTCTGATACAAAGATGAAGAAAATGGAGCCTGAGACATTAATTGCTACTACATTATTAGCTAATGGCATCAGAAATCACCTGTCTCTTCAATCTAATGTCTCCATCTCATCTCCACTTCATCCTCCTAAACAACCCTTTGTCATTGGTATTTTAATTTAATTATTCTTTGCACTTATTTATTTTTATTTTTGTTTTTGATATTGATTAATTAATTTTTATATGTTTTTTCAGGTGTTGCTGGTGGTACTGCTTCGGGCAAAACAACTGTTTGTAATATGATCATTTCTCAGCTCCGTGATCAAGGCGTTCTTCTTATCAACCAAGTAATTTCTCTCTCTTTTCTTTTTCTTTGTTTCATTTTTTTGTTTCTGTTTCTGTTGTTTTCATTTTTTTATTTTAGAGGTTCCGAATCCTCTGTACAAAATTCGCTTGAAGATATAATCTACTCACACCAATGCTGATTGTTTTTATTCTTTTAGGCAAATAGTTTTCTTGCAGATATCAATTAAGAAATTTGGAGAACTATCATTATTTCTACATTATTGAGTAATTATGCTTTAGAATTTTAATCTTTGTTGCAATTTTTCCATTAAGATTTGCTCTTGTCGTTGTTTTTATACTTATATAGGATGTTCTTTGTTCATGAATCTGTCTTTTTGGCTTGGCTTTTTTTGTTTTAGTATTGTGAGTCGTAATAGAATGTAATGTAATATAATCAATTATATTTCTAATGTAATATTTACACTAGAAATGCGTCTTAATATATTACATTATATTTTATTATGGTTCACTAAACAAAGTTATATATAATTTCAGTATCACCGAGCTAAAGTTCATTGGTTTTTTCTACTTGTTATATGTTAGCTTTAATTTATGTGAATTGAATCAAATTTAATGTTTTGATTGGTTGGTTTCTTAATCTAATGACACTAATACCATATACTTGTCCTATTTGTATATCCAAACTTCTCTTTAGGATTCTTTTTATCACTCTCTCAGTGATGAGCAATTGGAAAAAGTTCAAGAATACAACTTTGACCATCCTGGTAATTTATCGAGTATACTCATTCCAAGTTCCAAGTTCTTCGATTAAAAATGTAGTACAATAAATATTTACGTAGATATTCTAATTATGCTTTTTTTTTTTTTTTTTTTTTTTCCTTGAGTTAAAATGTAGTACAATAAATATTTACGTTAGATTTCTAATTATTGCTTTTTTTTTTTTTTTTTTTTTTTCTCCAGTGCCTTAACACGCGCTTCTTTTTATGTATTTTTTTTTTTTTTTTTTTTTTTTCTCCAGGTGCCTTTAACACAGAGCTTCTTCTTTCATGTATGGAGAGATTGAAAAATGGACATGAAGTTACAATTCCAAATTATGATTTCAAAACCCATAAAAGCACATTAGTGGGACAAAAGGTAAATTATATAATTCACATATATTTCTTGAAATAAAATAATATATGATCTTTATAACAGTAATGGATAAAAATTATTTTTCCAGTTCAAAGCTAATTGTTTTTGTTAAGCATAGGTTAATCCTTCAGATGTAATCATCTTAGAAGGAATACTAATTCTTCATGATCCTCGAGTTCGTGAGCTTATGAACATGAAGATCTTTGTAGAGACAGGTTATTTTCCATATATAATATCACCACTTGTTATGAACATAGCTCATACCTGTCTTCTTTTTAGTATATATGATGATAACCATTACAGTCATATGAAATGCAGATTCTGACTTACGACTTGCACGAAGAATTAAACGCGATACTGTTGAAAGAGGAAGAAATATTCAAAACGTGCTCGATCAAGTCTGTGATGTTCCTTTCTTCATATTTTGTACTACTTTTTTTTTTTTTCTTTTAATTTATGTTCAAGTAATAAGTTATCTGTAAACATTTGCAGTATGCAAGATTTGTAAAGCCTAGCTTTGAAGAATTTATATTGCCATCAAAGAAATATGCAGACATTATAATTCCTCGAGGAGGAGATAATGCAGTTGCAATTGACTTGATAGTTCAACATATCCATACAAAGCTTGGCCAGCATGATTTGTGTAAAATATATCCAAATGTTTTTGTTATATCCTCAACATTTCAGGTAAAAAATCGGTATCTGCAATTTTTTCTTTTACATTCTTGAAATCATATGTTACAATGTTCTGAATTTTATTCAGATACGTGGGATGCACACACTGATCCGTGATGTCAAAACAACAAAGCACGATTTTGTATTTTATGCAGATCGACTGATTCGAATGGTAAATATTTTGAAAAACACATAATATGCATTTTGAACAATGTAAGTTAGTTTTTCTTTGAATTAATGTTTCAGGTTGTCGAACATGGTCTTGGTCACCTTCCTTTCACTGAAAGACAGATTACAACTCCGACAGGTAATCTTCATTTCATGGTAATCTCTAAAAATTTTTTTGTTGGGCATAATTAGGCCAGTTTTGGTTTCGATTTAATGATTTGCAGGATCAATTTACCCTGGAGTTGTTTTCTACAAAAGATTGTGTGGTGTATCGGTCATTAGAAGGTATGTCTTTCGAATGCGTTATCAGAACAAATGCGATTATACTAAAATTTCTTACCATTTCATTTTTTCCTTGCACAAGTGGGGAGAGCATGGAGAATGCTTTAAGAGCATGTTGCAAGGGAATCAAAATCGGTAAAATCCTCATCCATAAAGAGGGTAGCAATGGACGGCAGGTTCGGCACATGCCTTTTTTCTAGCACCTCTTGTACAAAATTTTTTACTTAATTATAATGTTCATGCAGTTAATTTATGAGAAGCTACCTGCAGACATCTCAAGCCGTCATGTCTTATTGCTCGATCCAGTTCTTGCTTCAGGTTCTAAACACAAACTCATTTCTATTTAGACTCTATGTCTGATTGAGATTGAAACTGTTTTTTTTTTTTTTTTTTTTTTTTTTTTTTTTTATTTTTTTTTTTTTTGCATTTTAGATCGCTGCTTTTTTTTTTTTTTTTTTTTTTTGCCATTTTAGATGCTGCTTGGAAAGGCAGTTAAGAATTCTGTTTAACTGTTTCATAACAAGTGAAATTCAATTTGTTCTGTAGCAGCTTAACTGGTAACATCAAACAGACTCGTAATAACATAACCTTATGAACAGGAAACTGTGCGATTAAAGCCATATCTCTGCTGCTAAGTAAGGGCGTTCCAGAATCTAACATTATCTTCCTTAACCTTATAGCAGTAAGTCATTCAGACACTAATTGTTCCTCAAAACTGCAAACTTTATTTTTACCCTACAAGTATGATTTGCAGGCACCTCAAGGTATTCATGCAGTTTGTAACAAGTATCCAAAGGTAAAGATTGTAACATCAGAAATTGATGCGACATTAGACAATGATTTTCGTGTGATCCCAGGCATGGGGGTGTTCGGAGATCGTTACTTTGGCACTGATGAAGAGTAACACTAACATAAAGAGTTTCATCAGAACAGTTAAAAGATAACAGCTTCAGTTCTGGATAACTAGTTCTTGTTTCCAGCATTTCAACTCCTTTTTTGCTCTCCTCTTCCCTTGCTGTTTGCACTTGATCAATTTTGTTTCAGTTTATTTATGGAGGATAAAATTTTGTTAGGATAATATAGCAGCGGATCAAGGATAAACTGACGAAAAGCAGTTAAATCCAAAATGTGAATTGTGCTTAAAGCACACTAGCAGTCTGCAGAGGAGGGGGTTTTACCTTTCCTGCCACATAAAAACATCATCCAGTTTTGTGATCCTTGTTTAATTTGATAATTTGAGGTTATTTACTTTTCTTTTTTCTGATAAATTAAGTGATTATTTTGAATTGAAAAAACATACACGACACCAACACATGTTCATACGAGCTTGAGCTTGAGCTTGCAAAATATCAAATTTTCCAAAAAATAAAAAACCCAGCCTATACTTTTCTTCACATATCGAGAACCACAAACACGCTTGTGAACAGGTAAAAAAAAATGCAAACCAGATAAATTATATTCCAAATGAAAACTCGTTTGCAGATCAAGGAAAAAGAATACTTTGGAATAGAAAACAAAATAGAATGATCACCATTATAAAATTTCCATGAAACAAAAAAATAAACAAAACTTAACAATTGTCTCATACATTTTAATCAATAAAAAGAAAATTTTCTATCTTAAGATCTTATAGACTCTGGTTCCTAACATTCCATTAAAAGTCATTGCAGACCACCTGAAATGCGCTTGCAAATATTGCTATGTATAATTATATAATAATTCCATTTATGATCTTTCACCGGCAAAGATACAAAAATCTGAGCAGATTTAACTTGCAGAGTTCTTCTTAGTTTTCTTCTTTCTAGAGGCAAAGCTGCTGGGTCCAATTTCAATTGACATTCTCTTTGTGCTGTAAAGTGGAAAATAAAAAGCAGTTTCTAACTAAAGTCCTCAGTTCTCAAAAAAAAAAAAAAAAAAAAAATCCTCAGTTGCTTCAAACAAAAAAAAAAAAAAAAAAATCTTAATAAAAAAAAAAAAAAAAAAAAAAATCTTAAGTCCTAAAAACATTGTAGAAATAGAGAAAAAGGCATGGTAAAGCAATGTATATACCATTTAGAGAGTTCTTCTGATTCCTTGCCATTATCTTCAACTGTATCATCAAAAGAAAAAAAAACAGAATCAAATTATTGAGATCAGGTACACTGGATCTTTAGATTTCCTAGTCCTAGGTCAAAGCAGAAGAACAAACCAATTCTCAGAATAGATTGCCTCAAAATTATTAGAGGGATTATGTCTTGAGTTAATTGGGGTACAGAGCAAGTGTTAATATAACTTCTGTTGTGTAAGTTGCACAAAGAAAAAGAAGAGAAATGAACAGCAGTTATAACAGGATCTCATCAAAGTAAACTAGGATGAGCTGCTCTAGCCACTAGGAAGTCTTCAAGTTTTCTTTATCTTATAAAATCCCATTTAAAAAATACATTTCATGACACATATATCTATCACTGTAGTAAATGTTGCATTGTCATAAATCAGAGTTCTTTTAGGAAATTTTGCATATATAATTATTCCTATAATAACATAATTTCACCACTGTCTTCTATTTTTCTCCCTATTCATCCTTATTGGGTACCTAAATGAATAGAATATGCAAATATGCAACAGAAAACATTGGTTCTTTGTTAACAGTAGAGACAATACATATAAAGAGTACCACACCTGCTCCATTTTCTTCCCCACATTCCTGCCCCGACTCCTCACCAGAACCCCATCGATCTCCTCCATCATCGAAGTCCCAAGGCTCTCCCGCAGGTGGTATCCAGAAGTCAACTTCTTCAGAATCACTATCCTTATCAGAAAAATTCCTTACTTCAGAAATAATTTCGTCAACTGGCTTTGCCTCCTTTACTTTCTTTTTCTTTTTCTTCTTCTTCTTCTTCTCGACATCCATAGAAGACTTTGCTTCTTCTTCCTGTTGCTTCCCCTCAACTTTCTCAGTTTCTTTTTGTTCTGCTCACAGCAATTCACATTTGAATATCAAAGATAATTGAGTTTTAAACGTATTATCTTGAAATGAAAATGGATGTCTAAATCAAGATATTCTGTTCCAAGTTTACTTTCAAAATAACTAAGTAGGAGTTTGTTGGTTCTAGTAAGAATCATACTTAAAACTAGATACCCTTTGAATAAAGATTCAAATTATTCAAATATAAAAACCTCATCCTATTCCAGGAAGTGCATTCCTTTTCCTAATTCCAGAATGAACCAAAAGTGACAACAAAAATTCAGGAACCACCAACAATCTTTTGCAAGTAATCAACAAACCTAATTTGTTAAGGAACCTTTTTCCATTGATGTGCTTCCATATGTGTTCCTCAGACTTATTGACAGTATCCCCAGTCAGTTTGCATATCAATTTTGAACTGAAAAGGAAGAAAAAACAAATAAAAAATTCTCTAGTTTAGACACAAAATTCACCATCCAATTAAAGCAGACTTTTCCCGAAAAAAAAAAAAAAAAACTTTAATGCAACCCATGAAAAATTAAACTAAAAAAACAAAAATCATAAAGAAAGAGAACGGAAAGAAATGATAGGTTGGTTTAGAATTACCGGGAAAGAGGGTCTTGCTTGAACATGTTGAGAGGGGGCTTATTGTTGGCCAAAGCGAAGTCGATAAGTCCCAAACGACATCGTTTGCTCTGTGAATACGATTCCTTGTCTTTGGATAGCATCTCGTGCCCCGTCTCTACGCATTTGAACCTGCCATTTTCGAGCTGTGTGAAGCTCGGGGAGCCAAGCAAGTTGTTCCCTTCCATTTTTCCTTTATTGCTATCCTCGGCCATCGCCTTCGCTGCTGCTGCTTCCCCTTGACGGAAAGCACAGGTTATGTTATGTTTGTACGTGCTAGACCAAACAATGAAACAACGTCGTTTCATACCCTAGAGTTTTGTTAGATAAAATGAGAGCGTTTTAGGCATTTTGCATAATTTTGCTGTAACTCTTGATAAAAACTATCTGAAAATGCAAGGAAAGTAATTTTTTGCCTTTCATAATGTTATGTAAATCAATATTTTTTATGTATTAACTTGTGATTTTTTTCTATTTTAGTGTCTGAACGGAAAATGATTTCAATTGTGTATCTGGATTTCTATTTGTTTTTTATTTTAGTATCTTGATGAGTTGGACAATCGAAAAATAATATAAGACTTAACGGGAGCCACTTTTACCTAGCTGAAAATTTCTTTGGCCTGACATTTAATCCATGTCATCACGCCGATGTGGCAAATGTCTTGAAATAACCATCCCAACCTCACTTAATTGAACTAAAACCCTAAACTTCTTTACTTTCCTCGTTTCTTTTTTTTGTTTTTAGCGCTCTCTCTTAATTTCCAATCTACATTTGACCTTCTCCCTCAAGTAATTTCAACATATTCACAAGAATATAGTGCAAATGGTAACTATTAGATAATAACGAGATAGAGAGAGAAAGCAACCAAAGATAAGAACTTTTGCTTGCGTCAATGACCAGCAACTACACGGAGAAAAATGAAGCCAAAGTTGTTGTTGCTCTTTTCTATCACATCCCTTAGAACGTCAGGTTTTGCAAATCCTTCATTTTGAGCAAATATCTTTTCTATTTTATTATATCTTTTGTTCTGTGTAAGACTTTTATATAATATATTGACAACATTGAGGACGGTGTAGAAATGATGATGGAAGTGAGAAAGAGGGAGATATAATCTTGTAATTTAAAATATTTACATAGAATAAGAGGATCTTTATATTTTGTTGGAGCTTTTTTTTTTCTTTGGAAGTATTTGGTTACTAGAAAAAAAAAAAAAAAAAAAAAAAAAAAAAACAGAGATGAACTGACAGAAGGAGAGAGAGAGAGAGTTAGAGGGATAGATCGATAGAGCTGAGAGAGAGGAAGACGAGGGATTGAGATTTTTTTCCTTACTGCAAATATGGCATTTGCATCCGAGAGAGAGAGAGAGAGAGAGAGAGAGGGAAAACTAAGGAGGTTTAGTATGATTAAATGTCAGTCTAAAATAAGTGTCCAGCTAGGTAAAAGTGGCTACTGTATTTTTCGATTTTTCATTTCACCACGAGATATTAAATTAAAAAAAAAATAAAAATAAAAATATTCAATTGATAACATTTTTCCATTAGATATAAAAATAGAAAAAAATTACAAATTCAGACATTAAAGACATAATTAATTTGACTATGACTAATTTATAATACAGTTAGGAACGTATGGTTCAGTTGATTAATACAACTTACTGCATCAAATAATTAAATTTAAGACATTCAATAAGAATTTCGATCGGCAACAACTATTTGATTTGTGTTTATTTATATTATATTTATCTTATAAAATAAGTACTATTAATTTTCTAAATTAATATTTTTATGTGATGATTTTATTCATAATTGTTTAAATAATAAATAATTATTGAACATCATTTATAAAAAATTTAATTATTTTTTTAAATCAAAGTAGTATTTTTATTCTTATAACTTATTAAAACAGAAAATTATTTACAACTTATATATTACTTGTCTTTTCGTATTTTAATAATATATATATTTTTTACTTGCATGAAGTCTACGTCGGTTCTAACAATTCACAAACCTGGCTAATTTCGAGAGAATAAGAATCATTATTATAATCTACCAAATAATGAACATTCATTATCGATTCTAACAATCCACAAACCTAACTAATTCCGGGAGAATAACAATCATTATTACAATCTACCAAATAATGAACATTCACTGACCAACACTTATCAGTTACTGATTGACTACCAATTATGAATAATCACTATCAATTATCAATAAGTAAAAATAGCTAAATCAAGTAGAGCTTTTATTTTATTTTATTTATATAAATTAATTAATTAAACTTTTTATTTTTTTGATTTAAAACATAGAGTGCATATTGATTCTTTGAATCCTTAATTTTTATAATATTGAATGGGAATAAAAATTAAAAATTTTTTTTATTAATGGCATTGTAGTTTATATGTTTATTAGTAGTAAACCAGTTTTATGACCCCATAAAAAACAGATCACCGACTTTATTTCAGTTTTACTCGAACCACACGATCATAATATTGCAATGATTGATAACCAAATGTATGTACTAGGTGTAGACCTATCTGCATTCATGCCGTGTATCTTACCTCAATCCCTAAAGTAAAATGGGGATGAAAACAACACTCCAATTAATATTTTATTTAGGGTAAATTATTATTTAGTCCCTCAGATTTTACATAATTAATCAACTAATCACAGGTTTTCAGAAAATATCTAGCTAGTCCCTCAGGTTTAACTCCGTCTAATTAAAAGGTCCTTCCGTCCGAAAAGTTGATTTTTTTCCGTTAATTATAGAGTAAAAGACACGTGGACCAGAAGGGAAAAATATATCTAGTCCCTCAGGTTTTACATAATTATCTAACTATTCCAAATTTTGCCGCAAATATTTAACTGTCCCTCAGGTCTTCAACTCCGTCTAATTGAAAGTCATTTCCGCCCGAAAGTATTTTTTTCCGTTAATTGAAGACTAAAGACTAAAAACACCTCTCCTAGCTGACATGGACAGTATGAAGCGATAAGGCGAGAGAATTGTATAAACTAAAAGACTAAATAAATAATTTTCCCTATAATGTTTATGCCACATGTAGAATTAATATAGACTAAGCTTAATACACGAGGAGGAAAATTAGCTTCTGCTAAATTTAAAATGAAAACTTGAACGAGTTTCTATAAAGTCAGATGGAGACAATTACTTTTTTTATTATGATAATTACTTTTTTATCTATAAATAACTATTATTTTTAGAGCCGGTGTTTTCTCCGCAAATATTCATATTTTTTTAGAATATTAATGAGTAATTTAATTTTTTTTCAAATTTATCCTTATTTATATAAATTAATAATTATTTTTAATTTTCCAAAATCATTATACATGCTCCTCGTCTTTTACTTAAGGTTACGTAATAAAATTAATTAATATTTTGTTATAATTTATAAGAATAAATTTACTTACTTAATTACCATAAAAATATTAAAAGTATTTATGAATAGATGGAATACTTTGTTTTTTTTTTTAGATTTTATCAATGATAATAGAAATGTTTCTTGATAAAATTTGCATATTAAATATGAATAAAATAGAAAATATGTTTATTACTTTTTTTTCTAAAAAAGAAACTATGATGATAATTTGGGGTAAAAAGAAAAATGAAGTAATTACTTTTTTGAAGATGTATTTACTTTCATGATTCACTCAAATTTAATAATATTTAATTAGAACATCAAATTAATTTTTTTATCCTTTTTTTAATACTGTCTTTGTTTTATAATACTTGTCAGATTTGAGAAAATAGTTTGTTCTAAAATATTTGTCTAATTTAGTCTAAAATACTTGTTATATTTACGGTTTTAAGGAGTAATAAATATTTTTTTCATATTTACCCTTTGTGTATGATTAATAATTAGATAATAATTTTTTCTTATGGTCCACGTCAGCTGGGGAGGGATATTTTAGTCTTTTACTCTATAATTAACGGAAAAAAACCAACTTTTCGGACGGAAGGACCTTTTAATTAGACATAGTTAAACCTGAGGGACTAGCTAAATATTTTCTCAAAACCTGTGATTAGTTAGTTAATTATGCAAAACCTGAGGGACTAAATAATAATATTGCAATGATTGATAACCAATTGTATGTACTAGGTGTAGACCTATCTGCTTTCATGCCGTGTATCTTACCTCAACCCCTAAAGTAAAATGGGGATGAAAACAACGCTCCAATTAATATTTTATTTATAAAAGTTAAAAATCATTACTTTTATTGTGAAGAGTTATAAAATTATTTAAAAAAAAATGATATTTAAGGTGTGCTACATGTATTTTAAAAATAAAAAAAACTATAAAATCTTTTGTTAAAATTTAATGGTTGAAATCTTACATTTCGAATTATCAGAAGATTCAGATTTAATGAATCATTCCGTGTAAATTTTATATCTTTTATCATTAATTCTCAGTGCAAATGCAAAGAAAATGCTTTTAAAATAAAAATTCAGTATGTGTCAATTTGAACTATGCGGATTAATTGATTCAATCACAAATCAATCGGTTCAATTTTATTTTATTTTTTAAAACTTTAAAGTAAAACTGCTTCAATTTTAAGTTTCATTCTCTGGGCTAAGACAATTGATTAGATAGTTTAATACTATCTTTTCAAATAATCGTAAAATTTGTGAATTTTAAAAATAATCAATTATTTTTTATTTTTGCTCTTTGGATGTGACAAACAGTGATTGCTTCGCTCTTTTAATAATTTATTTGAATTCATAGAGATTAAAATTAATATACTCAGTTAACTTAATAATTTATTACTAATCAAATGATCAAATGATATTTTTAAGTGAAAATTCAAACGCAGTAAGTATTTGGAAGGGAGAAAGCAACGGTGATGTTTTTTTTTTTTTTTTTTTTTTTTTTTTGGTTTTTGGTGAGAACTATGATATAAAGCTACCTTTCCACTGTTGGCATTCCAAGGCGGTGTCAGTGGATCACAGCCGAAACGAAGGAAAATAAACAAATAAATAAAAGTTTAACAAATTTAAATTTTGGGCAGAAAAAATGGAAATATTAACCAATCTTGCATGCCAGTTGCCAGACAACAACAAAATCTTCAATGCCAGAAAGCAAGAAAACACCCAAATCAAACATACAAGATTTTTTGTAAGCACATGGCTCACTCATTATCCACATCTATAAAAGTAGATAGAGACACCCATTTTCCTAAATCAAGCTGCTTCTTTTTTCTTTTTTACTTTCTACGTTTCTTTCACACTTTCAAGAATGAGGTACATTTCTGGAATAGTTACAACGGGATGTTGGAGATTATTGGCCATTTTGTTAATTTCTTCATGGGTTTTGAGTATAAAGAGTGATACTATAGCACCATGTAAGTTTCCTGCAATTTATAACTTCGGGGACTCAAATTCAGACACTGGTGGGATATCTGCTGCGTTTGAGCCGATTAGAGCTCCTTATGGTGAAGCTTTCTTTCACAAACCTGCGGGAAGAGATTCTGATGGCCGCCTTATCATAGACTTCATAGGTAAAAACCAGAACTTTCCTCTTTTTTTTTTTTTTTTTTTTTTTTTTTTCTTCTTATTTTTGTTAATAGACTCTTAACGGATTGATACTCGCATTTTGGTGACAGTCGGACAGACTCTAGTACTAATAATGGATTTATTTTTGTTAATTAGATTATTAAAGGATTGAAACTTGAAACTTGCAGTTCTGGAGACTATTTTATTACCTTTTTATTTATTTTTTTGGGAGCTAATATGAGTTGGTATCTTTTTGCAGCTGAGACGTTAAAATTGCCTTACCTGAGTGCTTACTTGAATTCTATCGGGACAAATTATAGGCATGGAGCCAACTTTGCTACAGGAGGATCAACAATTAGAAGGCAAAATGAGACTATATTTGAATATGGGATTAGTCCTTTTTCTCTTGATATGCAGATTGTGCAATTCGATCAATTTAAGTCAAGAACTGCGGATCTTTACAATGAAGGTTCAAATCTAATCTTGCTATTTACCATAAATCTAAATTTTACCACATGTGAGTTGTTAAAGCTTTTTCTTTTTTTCTTATGATGTTCAGTGAAGAATAATACCCATGAGGCAGGGAAGCTCCCAAGACCTGATGAATTTGCAAAGGCTCTTTACACTTTTGATATTGGCCAAAATGATCTTTCAGTTGGTTTTAGAAAGATGAGCATTGATCAACTGAGAGCAGCAATGCCAGATATCATTAACCAGTTAGCTACAGCAGTCCAAGTACTAAGTTCTATTATGCTAGCTTATATTCTTTTTATTTTTATTTTTATTTTTTTTGGATATAAAACATCGAAAGTATTTGAGGGGATGCAGGATTTGAACCTCTGAACATTATATGGACTATTAGACAGACATGCGGCCACCAGCCGATTAGTTCACCGGCTACCATTCTTATATTGATTGCTGGAAATAACTAGCTTTAGATATTTTGCACATTAAGGATGATGGGTGATTATATGATTTGTATGTGTTTCAGCATTTATATCAGCAAGGAGGGAGATCATTTTGGATACATAATACAGGCCCTATTGGTTGCTTGCCAGTGAATCTATTCTATGTATCAAATCCACCTGCTGGTTATCTTGATGAACATGGCTGTATCAAGGCACAAAATGACATGGCTGTAGAGTTTAATAGCAAGCTTAAGGAGAGAGTTGTTAAACTAAGAGCAGAATTACCAGAAGCTGCAATTACTTATGTGGATGTATATGCTGCTAAGTATGGACTTATAAGCAATGCAAAGAATCTAGGTAATTAAAATACCTGTCAAGATATAGCATAACTTTTTTTTCTAAGCCATCATGCTACTTTTATCTTATGTTTAAGTCTAACTATTTTGAGTAATAAGCTTTGGCTTAACTGGTTCAAATCCTCCAATTCGCATTATATGCCATAACTTATTTGTTTTTTTCTTTTTCTTCTTCTTTGTTAACTCTCCAATTCCATAGCATTTCCTGACATTTTGTCACAAATGAATTCTAGTAGGATTATGATTAACCAAAAAGAAAACAGAAGGGGTGGGATTGAAAACAGTTGTAACCCTCCAATTCTACTGGAATTAAGCTTATTAGTTTTTTCTTTTCTTCTTTTTTTTTTCCTTTTCTTTTTTGTTGGGGTTAATAAGGCTCTGCTTGGGGTCCATTTGCAACAAAATGTCCGAATGACAATTGATTGGAAAGAATCACGTCCAACAAAATGTCATGAAATGCTGCTGCTATAGAAATGTATTGACCACAATTTCAGCATTATCCTCGTTAATGGGATTCAATATTTTATTGTAATGAAGTTACGACAATGTCTTTTATGGAAAATGAAAGGATTTTTTTCCTGCTTGGTCTCTTATATAATCTTACAAATGTGTCTTAATTTGCAGGAATGGCTGATCCATTGAAGGTCTGCTGTGGATATCATGTGAAATTTGACCATATATGGTGTGGGAATAAAGGAAGTGTTAACAATAGTGAAGTCTATGGTGCCTCCTGCAAAGACCCGTCACTCTTTATAAGCTGGGACGGTGTGCACTACACTGAGGCTGCAAATCAATGGGTTGCTGATCATACACAGAATGGTTCATTGACCGACCCTCCGATTCCAATTACTCATGCATGTCATAGGCTGTAAGTATAAATAAGGAGCAGGTTAACAACCTGGAATATTGATTAGCATTGGAGAATTTGGCACTAGAATAACTTGTTCGTCACGTGTGCGAAGGTAAGGGTTGAATGTGTTTTGTTCGAGGTCGATTATGAGATGTCTTTTAAGAATTTTACTTAGATTCAAAAGGAGTTATAAATGTCCCCTTCCCTTGTTTCAAATTCTCTGATCTTCAATCCATGTTGAAAAACTATTGGGTTCAATTAGCAATTGAAACAAGGAATGCATCAATCTGATATATTTATCTTGTATCTAAGAAAGCAATTTTGGCTTGTCTAAAACCAACCAATGTCCTAATAAAGTATGAAGCATAGCAGCATTTTACATAGTAGCATAAGGCCATCTAGTGTCCTAATGGACTCCTACAATGCCTCTCCAAGTGCAGCATTAAACCATGGTCCTCTCCTTCCCTCCCTCTCTCATATTTGTTAGATTGCCAGAAAATAGATCCACATATGTTCTGCTTTCATTAATCTATCAGGATAATCCATACCAACTATTATTTACAGAGTATCATGCAGAGTTTTCACGCTCGCTGCTATGATCCATCTTCCATGGCAATCCTGCATTTGCAATTCGGAAGAAACTCTAACCTAACTCCCTAATTTTCAAGCAAAAGCTCGAATGAAAACGAACATTGCTACTACATAGTGAAACAAGTACAAATGTTATGTCTCTTTAGTTGAAATGAGAAAGTCAGGAAAAGGAGTGAGACAATCATTTGGCATTCAAAACCGCACAACTTTAAATATACACGACTGTGAACAAGTATTCATTGACGGTGTCCTTCTGGTAAGGGAACCACGTTGTAAAAAGGTACTGCTCGCTGAGGCAGCGCTCCATCTTCCTCATCATCATCGAATTCCAGTAAATACCTGTTCAACAAAAACAAGAAGATGGATAATGTAATGCTACCATAAAAAATAACAGCACGAACTCAAAAGAGTCAAAAGGTCTGACAAGTTTAATCTACCGATGACTGATACATAATTCTGTTTCAAACTATATAATAAATAATAATCATATGAATACAATGTTCTGCATTTTATTTCTTTCTTTTTCCTTTTTTTTTTTTTTTACTTGAAAATTCATAAAGAATGTTCTCCTTGCCTATTTTTATCATTCATTTTAGATTTCAAAGATCATTGTATAAATTAATTAGTGCGACAAGCTATTTATTTTGACAACAATCCACAGGAGAGAAAGGAGAGAGAGAATAAGTATAACACTGATATTGTCCATGCAATGCCACATTAACGGTGTTAAATTTCCACAAACAGGACAATGAGGATGAAAACTAAGGAGGATGTCACTTACTCCTCTGTCTTTCTCTGAAAATGTAGGAACAGTTGATTAAGGGCAACCCATAGCATGCACATTAAAAATTAACAGTCAGTCCAAAGTCAGAGTTGTAGAGCATATTCAAAATTGAGTAACAAAACAACCAAAAAATAAAATTTCATAAGCAACGTAGAACCACTAATCTTGGTTATATCAAAAATAGAAAGATGGAACATTTACCTTCCGTGAGGGACTAACAACAGTGGCCTTATAGAGAGCTGTTGTTCCTGGATAAACAGCCAAAACATGTCTTCCAGGAGGAAAATCAGGAGCACTAGATGGATCATTTTTCTTGGGGAAAGGTATAATACATGACATAGGCAGCTTGTACTTTCTGAAAGTAACAATGACAAAATAAATACTATTCCTTTCAGTTAACTACCAGCATGCTTACAGTAAGTTTTGTAATGAGTAATCAGAACTAATATTAAAGACCAGAGAAAAAGAAGACCATGGAATAACCAATTCAGTGAGGCAACTTAGAGGGCATCTTTAATCAAACATACCTTTGGCCACCACCTTCCTCGTCATCACCTGGCTCCTCATCAAGTACTTCAAATCTGCACATGAAGAAAAAAAAATGCTAGATAAAGGGGGAAAAAAAAATCTGAAACTGAAATAGAGGACTCATAGAGCAGTGTTCTCTCAAACATTATGCCCCATCACCATATTTAGAAAAAAATAAAAGCATGACAATTTAATCTGACTCAAACAAACAAACAACTCATAATAAGCTCCATAATACACTCATTAATTCCACTCCTTTATTTGATGAGTAAAAACTTTCAGTTACAGCTAGAGCTAGAATAACTCGACCTTAACTAATCTGAGAATCCGTGACTTGAAACAACTAAGTGAAATGAGGAATGAAACATATATGTTACGCCATAGTTAAACTTTCTCCAACTCAGAGTTTTATTCCTTAGTTCTTTTTTTTTTGGTCTTTTCTTCTCTTAAAAAAGACCAGGTTTTTCAATGCCAAGCAAATTCCAAATATTTTTAGCATTCCATAATAGTGGTTAGTTGCATACTGTAATGTAAAAATGTTCACCGCTGATGGAAAATAATAGTGATAACCGAAAAAAAAAAAAAGCTAGTTAGCATATCGGTAACAATAATTGATTAGCAATTACAGCCAGGGAAATAGTCAAAACAAGAGATTCATTAGGATAAACACAGATGATATAGTAGTCCTTGATTTTTCCCCCATTATGGAACACATTATCATGTGCTGTGCTAATCTACCTAAGGCAATGCTACATTAGCTGACATAAATCTCCCCCATTTGGAGAACTTGCACTCTTTAGTTATATAACCATGAATAGAGATCATAGTATCATCAACAAACAAACACATGCATATTGTGACATGGGGGCATCAAGAAAACTATGAAAAAAATGAATGAATCAATGTGCGGGAACCATGTTTTCAAGAATCAATATATAGGCACTATGTTGTCAATGGTCAAATAAAACAATATCTCCAATAACCATGGCCAACAAAGAACCAAAGGATCTAAAGTATAGGAATTATACTCACTCTTTCGTTTCCCTATCGAATTGTATCACCTTTACAACGAACCACTCGTCTTTTTCAGCGTTATTACCTGTGACCCTAGCTGCTACCTGAGGACAAATCAATCCCTTCAGTGTGAAATAACGAACTTAAATTGTACTTCCATATTCAGGCAAGCAAATATGTTATTTAACATATGGCAACAACCACAAAAGAACAGTCAACCAAGAGCTACATACATGTTAGTTTAGACATTAATTTAAATGATGAATTACTGTTTCGTTCGAAGGATTGTTAAAATACATGTCCATATTAGTGAATTTTATCAAACTTTAAGGACTAAATAGTTGTCCAAAATTGTAACGACCAATTAATTCGACAAAAAATAGAGGTCCTAATTTGTATATCAGGTCAAGCTTCATGAACTAAACAGTAACTACACCTTAAAAAAAAAAAAAAAGCTACATACACACCTGTTCACCCTTTAGACTAGCACAAGCCTCAAGTTGATTTCTCATTGAAGGAGAAAGCCTTGAGATATCAGAATCAGTTTTCATTCTTTTCCTTTTTTGGTCACTACCATCTGCATTTATTTAACATTTTAATCAATATGGAGAGAGAAGTTTCACAAATAAATACATTAGAATCTCAATGAAATCTTCATCATTAGTATAAGTCATCTATTAATGGTTTAGAAGAACTTAAAAAGCATAGATGCTGTTCTATTTTATAAATTTCTTTCTTAGTTCATCTATACAAAAGGTCGTCATCCTTGCTATTACGTTCTAAACTCAAAAGGCATAAACACTATTCTATATTAGAAATTTCTTTCTTAGTCAAACAAAGGTCTTTATTCATCTTATATTAACACAATAAACATATTAAATATCACTGGAAGGAGTCAAGTAGCTCAATTTGTACCCCATACCTATCCTCCTCCGTTGTTGCCCAGGAGGACCTGATGGAAGCAGAGCATCCAGTTGACTTAACAAGATGTTGGAAACACTGCATCCACCATCCAAAAACAATGGATTGGTGAAAAACATTGGAATGTGTTAGGCACATCAAAACCAATAAAACAACATATATATAGCATAAAATTACTGAGTAAGCACAAACTCAACATCAACCATGAGACAGAAGGAATAAATATATAGAAGCCACATATTTATTATACATATTAATGGACATACTGTACTTCAGTCTCTGAAAGATCCTTGGCTTGAGTGTACAAACTTTTCAGTCTTGATAAAGAATTATCACCAGGTTTCTCAACCACCTCAGGAGCTGCATTTTTAAGTTAAGAGTCAATAGAAATAAGTAGTGATTCATCGTAAAAAACAAGCATCAATATGAAAGCATTTCAGTTAAGAGTCAATAGAAATAAGCAAGGTACGTTGTCAAAAACAAGCATCAATATGATAAACAAAAGGGAAAAAAATTTAATAACAAGGGAATTTGACACAATTGTCACCTACTGTTTTATTGATTGACTGTCTAGTAAGAAGAAATAAGATGAGGAAAAAAAAACGATGCCATTCATTTTGTGTCAAAAGAATCACATTAAGAAATTTCTATATCTGACAAATAACTCAACTTACAAGAATTTTAGCAACTAGAAAAGTCATAAATTGATTTCCCAAAATTACATCACAAATAATTCATTTAATTACCACATCAAAACAAACCCAACAAGCAAAATCTCAAATTAAGCCAAACACAACAAAATTTAATCAAAATCAAAAAAATCCCATCAAGACACTATTGGGAACATTCATCAAATAACAACCCCGTTAACCTCAGACCAACCAAGTATCAAAATTCAAAGCACATTAGATCATTAAATTTGCTAAAAATACAGTTAGAATCAAATGACTTACTAGTTTGAAGCTTCTTATGCATCTTATTGATCTCGGAAAGTACTTCCTCCTGCTCTTTCCTTAACCGATCGAGCTCTCTCGAGTTCTCCAAAATTCCTGCAATCTCCGGCGACGACATCTTTTTTGAAATTCTTTTAATATTTAATCCCCTTGTCGGAGAATCAGAAACCAATATTTGTGTATGTTGTACACAGAAAGCTCGATTCTTTCTTGTTACTGTTCCACTTCGATCACCTCTTACGTTGTTGGAAAATTTCTATGCCAGTAGAATCGAAAAAAGGAAGGGTTTTTATTTGTTCTTTTTAATTTTTTTTCAGTTTTTATAGTTTTTTTAGTTTATAAAGTACTAAGAGACGATTTATTTTTCTAGTTAATTTATAATTAAAAAGGAAATTAATGGATAATGAGGTTTGTTATTATAAATATTTTATTTTTACGACAAATTTACAATCGAAAATGTTTTATCCAGGATCGCCACGTGGATAATCTACAGTGAAGGTCCAGTGTAAAAACTTTACAGCTCTCGATGTTCTGCCACGTTTAGATCCTAATGCACTTTTCCTTTGATCTGACTAGATTTTATATACACAAATATACTTGGTCATCCGCCTGCTTATTAGGATTGGATCCCCGCCATGAACTTATTTTGCATGATGTCTGAATATTGATTTTAGTATGGAGGAGTTTGGTTACAAAAACAAGTTTCTTCAGACCATACTTTTGCTATCATGGATTGAGGACCATGATGCCATGATCCTGCAGAAATGGGCAGGACTTTCACAAGTGCTTGGAGGATCGGTGCGCCTATCAGAATGTCTTAAATCGGAACGTCAACATCTAACCAGTGACCCGAGCAGACGAGGACAATCTCTAACACACCTGTTTTATCTTTTTAAAAAATAATTTTTTTATAAATATTTATAAAACCTTACAAATTCAATCTATAAAATTAAGATATTTATAAAAAAACAAAAATAATTATCTGAAAATTATTGTTTATTGTGCTTACAATATTTTCAAAGATCCTGTCTTTGTATTAAGATTATTTTTTAATCATCCATTTTGACGTAACATCGTACAAATATTTCATATAATTTACAGGGATATGTAAATTCTTTTTCATATAGAATTAAATAATTAATTGAGTCTGATGTTTTATATTGACTTGTTTGATAATTACTTGAGTCTCTTAATTAGTTGACTATATTCCAAACACGATAAATGTAAAATGATGAAAATATCAGTTTAAGAAAAATGCCAGAAAATTCTGAATTTAATATTTAAATTCCTTTCTCTTGAAAATGTATGCTGCAATTTCTTAGCCAAATAATTAATTACACATTCAAAGGCATACCAAAAATTAACAAGAACCACAACTAAACCATAAACACATTCAAACCAGCGGTGGTGAAGCAAACCTCATCAAAGACTCTGAGTCTCTAAAGGAGTGGATGTGACACCCTAAGCGAATTTCATATAGAATGAGCATAATATAAGAGTAATGTAGATAAGTAAAGATAAGCCTTGCACTAACAAAACACATTTTAGACTATAAAGATGTTCTAATTCAGAAATAAATCTGTACGGGTGACTCAAAGCGGATAATATTGTTGTCATCGATCTATATATTTCATAGGTTTGGGGTCTTTTTTTTATGTTCTTAGTTCTATATTAGAAATGATTAAAGATTTATGATTTAAAATTTGGCCTGATAAATTCATAATTGCTATGTTATTATATCTTTTAAATTTGATAACTCCACAATTTTTATTTGATTTTCCTCTTCTTGGACATATCAGAATCATCAAATAATATATTACTATAGGTTTTTATTTTTTTTCAATTAATTAATTGTTAGTTAGCCATTTATCTTTGTTTTTCTATTTCATTCTCCTTAATCTTCAGTATCTTGGGAACCTTGACTTTGCTTCTAATTTGAATAAAATTTGAAATTTCAGAATCAAGCTTATAAGTTGAAACAAAAGGGCAAAAGGACTATTTTCCATGTTTTTTTTTGAATTTTGGTGGATGGATATTAATTAGTTTGCTTTTGATTAGTGCATTTCTTTTAGAAAATCTCATAATTATTTCAAAGCAATTATTTTTAACAAGAAAGAATTCAGATCAGACATGTATCATGAAATCATTAAAGATTTGACCCTTTCAAACTATGTCTATAACTCACTATAGACTCGAAAATTAAAGAGAAAATATGTACAAACGAGATATCCATTAACAAGAAGAAAGAAAAAGATGGACCAGAGAAACTTCTAATTCTTTCAATTTTTTAAAATAGATTACCAATTTATTAATAAAGAGTAATATTCCCATAATAGGAATTAGGCATAATCATGGCATAAATGGTCATATAATATCTGATTTGACATAATTAGTAGGGTTTTAGCCTTAATGAATTTAGGGTTTAGGGTTTAATTAGGTAATTATACAACTAATGCAATTTAATAAGATGTGCCTACTTTGTATCGCAATCTACCTGTAGACCAGAATTAAAGTCCCTCCTATAAGAAAACGTACGTTAATGGACCCGCCAATAGCTTTATTTGAAACCAAATAAGGAAAATGTTAATGGACCACCCATACCGATCTTTAATTAGATGCCTAATATCAATGATTTCAAACGAAAGGGGGTTTGTTTTTAGAAAATAATTATTTTTTTACTATTAATAAGTAATTAAGTATTAAAACTGAAATGTGATTTGCAATTAGTTGTTGGAGATTCTGTTGGTAGTTTTCTTTTTTTCTTTTTTTGAAAACTTGATTCTGATATATAAAAAATAATAATTTATAATTTATCGGAGACTTTTATAGGTCGAAACAACACTATAAATTATACAATAAGGGTAATCATTTCCTTGATTCATCAAATTGGTGAAAATAACTGTGATCGAAAGGACTCGAACTCGAAATCTCATACTCCTGAGTGAGAAAACCAATCAGACAACCACTTGATTGGCATAATTTACATATATTTATTTAAATAGTATCGGTGAAAAATGATTATAACTATATATTATTAATGAAAACATATTAATATAAAAATCATTTTAAATAAAATATTATCAATAAAAAGCCGTTTTAAATGAGATAACTTTTGTAACAAATCAACATGATTTATGCAATAATTACTAAAAATCAGCTGTTTAGATTGCCTAAACCAATAACAATAAATTAAAAATTTCAAATAAATTAATCTTAATATTATCTACAATCCCAAAATAATATTTGGAGTTGCAATGTTTATACAGGAATTTAAAATAGAGGCAGAGAGCAAGGATCGGATACACCGTGGAATCTTATATTTTTTAAAATTTTTTTTATAGAGTAGTCCCTATATTTAAAAATACTTTTTGCCCTTCAAATTTAAAATGTAGTTTCGTCCCTGATTTAAAATTAAGAAAATATTTCTTTTTTAATTTAATACTAAAACAAATGATAAATGATAATTAATAATTAAAAAAATAATTAACTTTGCCAACAAATAAGTCAAAGGTATAAAACTGTTTTGTCTTCGAATCAATAATGCAAATAGCAATATTGACCAGCCCACATAAAGTCATAAATTCAAATTAATTTTTTTTAAAAAAATAAAATCTCTAGTGGGCCCGATCACCATCTTCCAAGTTCAAAGTCTCAATCTCAATAACAATGGCATCAATTTCAAAAGTAAAAGTAATTGAAAAAAGAGAAACTATTTTCCAGTGTGGTGACTTCCAGTGTAATGTCTCACCAACATCTTGCACGTTTCAATTATTAAATGGCCCCGCAAATTTGGTGAAATATTACAGCACTCATTCCTGAAATTAACGTACGAGGATTATATACAAACAAATCCCACACGAAATTAGAAAATAAAAACGAAAATGGGAAAATATGAATATGTATGAGTAGGACTCAAAGATTGAAGCTTTCTCAATCAAGTTGTCAATTTATTGAAGAAAAATAAGAATAAACGACAACCCACCTGAGAGTGATATTTTACAAAAAGAAAAAAAAAAAGGAATTCTATTGGAAATTCCAACATTGAATTTCCCTCCTGTGTTTCTCTTCTCTGTTCCAATTTTTTTGTTTCAGTCATATATATGCACATTCCTCAAAGATAAAGAAGCTGACAAACAGAACATTCCGTCTCAAAAGCTAAGACCCTGTTTGTTATTCTGTTACAAAATCCATTTCCTAGATCAAAATCCTCGCAAATTGATATCTTTCTCTCTCTTGAAAGAAAGAGAATATTCAGGGATTTCACGTATGATTTCATTTTCTTGGCTTCTCTTTTCTTTCTTGTTTCCCATGTGAAATTTGACTTTGCAATATCGGAATAGCTCGTTTGTGGTTCCATATGGTGTGTTATTGTCATATAAGCTTGAGAATTCTCTTAGCTTGGTAGTGAAATTGTTTTATCAAGGATTTGAGTGTGTTTTTTGGATAGGTTATGATGTTTTCTTGACTTAAGCAAAGGTGATGCTTGTAATTGATTTTTAATTTGATATTCTTTATCTGTACCTGGAAAATTTAACTTAAACCCATGTTATTCCTCAGATAAAAGAAGAAAGAGTTATTTTTTGTCAATAGGATCAATGTTATTTTGGTTTGAGGTTTTGAACTAGTTGAACTCGTTTTGGATTCACTAATGCACGTGTTCTGTTTTGCTGATTGGAATTGGGGTAAGTGGGTTATGATCAGTTCAAAATTTCATTTTTGATAACTTTATCTATGTTTTCCAATTTTTGGTTTTCTTTTTTCTAAAATTGAAGTTTGTGGCATTTTCTCGAAGAAAAGTAAAAAAAAAAATGTAATCTCCTAAATGTGATTGTTGATCTTGATTGGAAATGAAGTAATTGAAGTTGTTTGTGTATGTTTGTGGCATAAAGAGTATATTTATACCCATCTCGAAATTTTCAAGGGCTGTATAATTGTGTTTGGGCAATCTTTTGTTTCCGGTTGATTAGTATTATGAATAATGGTGAAGCTGCTGCCAGGAATGACTAGGGTAATTGGTGCTGACATGCTTATATGTTTTGCATTTTAAGGCTACTGGAAATTGCAAACTTGATGAGCCAGCGGAACAGCAATTTCTTGCTGGTTTTTATCTTGTATATCTGTGACTGTAGAATCAGAAGATTTGGACGATAATGCGTCTCCCTGTCCGGAGGTATGGTTCATTCCTTACAGTCCCTCATTCAAATAGTTTCAAGTTTGCAGTTTGATAACAATGAAAAATGTCATCAATATGTGAATTCTTTCTTTTAACTAGCAGTGGATATGCAAGAAAACCAGGTGAGACAATGAGGCTTTTCTTGACTACTTTTGCTGGAATTACCTTTGGCTTTTTTCTAGGAATATCTTTTCCAACACTCTCACTGTCTAAGGTAGATATATTTTAACCCTTTAAGTGTCTATTGTGATGATTGTGTTTCTCTCTATTTCGTTTTAATGTTTCTTAACACAATTATCTTATTTTATAGATGAATCTACCATCCAGTCTATTTTCTTCCATTGATCTAACGTATATTGAGGACAAGTACTCTGGTCTTTCAACCCGTACACTGTTCAATGCTTGGTCTTCTCTAAAGGGCAGCAAGGGCGATTCTTTACCTCACAAATATAATGATACAAATGTATGCTCTCTTTATTCACTCATACCCTTGCAAAATATCCTCATACCCCAATTCTATTTGTTAATGAGTAGTCTCAACAGGACAACAAGGCTTTTCAGCTACTATTTATTTTGATCCAACTATTTTCAATAAATAAACTTCTTTAAGCATTTCTAATTGATTTAGTCAGTTTTGTAAACTCCTGTATGGGATTGATGATTTCTCTAGAACTCTTTTGAATTTAGTTGGCAGTAAGGTTTCCCTTGTAATTTTCATTTTTGAAATAGGTTATTAAGCAAGCAGATGTCCAGCAATTAAAAGGATTTTTGGACATTCTTTAGAAATATGGTATCATGTTTTTGAAACTTGGGTGATATCAAATTTGTCTCTTTTGCTTTGTCAGGGTGTCATAGCAGATACATCAACTTCTCTTAAATCTTACTGAATGCATTATGCATTGGCAGATGTATTCTCACCAAATTTCTCTGTCGGCGCTAATTATTAACCCTTTGATTCTGATGCAGATCTGGGTTCCAACAAATCCTCGGGGAGCTGAGAGATTACCTCCTGATATAGTAGCGCCTGAATCAGATTTCTACCTCCGTCGATTGTGGGGTCTGCCTGAAGAGGTTTGCAACTCCACTTGTATGGAGCATGTACTTTAGCTGTTACATCATATTGTGGTAGGAAAGGTACATATGAGGAAGTAGTATAACATATACACAATGTTGCTTGATCTAGAACCAGGTGCCAAAGTTGACTTAAGTTGTTTGTAGAGAGCATGCAATATAAATAAATAATGCTTTGTTTTGAGCTTCAGATGAGATTCTAAGGTGACACGTGAATAATAGTTTCATATTTATCAATAACCAAGTCCTTATCAGTTGTCAATGTTCCCATCCCATAAACCATCCAGCTAGCAGCTCAGCTGTTCAAACCTGAGACCTCTTATGTAGGTTGGTATCCAAACTTTAACCATTGGATAATCATTTCAGTTGAATTTTTTGCGATCTGCTATCCCTTTCTTAGGGAACTGCAGTATTGCTTTCTTTATTTGGTTAGAGGGGTGGTGAATGGCTTTAGGACTCAAGAAAGAGAAGAAAGTTTGAACAGTTCTGTAAATTAGCAGAAGTTGATACAAAAATTTCACAGTATGTAATATTTACAGTAAGAGGCACTAGATGATAGGTTGCAGAAAAATAATCATTGTTACTTCAAGCTATCCTTTTTTTTTTCTTTTTCTTTTTCGCGGATAAGCAATACGCATCGCGTCAAACTATCTTATTTGGAACACAATCTCTTTGTCTTTCAGTTGCTATAATTTCTATGGTACTATTAAACTTCAAAATGAAAAAATTCTCTCAAGTTGACATGATTGTGGTATTTTGCCTTCTAATCTCATATTTTGCTAATGGAGGTGGGATCTGCAGGACTTGTCCATCAAACCAAGGTATCTCGTAACTTTTACTGTTGGTGCTGATCAGAAAGATAATATTGATGCAGCAGTTAGAAGGGTCTCTTTCTCCTTCCTCCTCTCCCCCCCCCCCCCCCCCACGTGAGTGCTCACAAGCAAACTAAGTGGTTAGAATCTTAACCCATAAATTTTCAACTCCTGATTACATTGCTAGTTATATCTTCTTATAAACTTTTGAACTTTGCTCAAGGTGGTATGCTAAACGTTTTCTACACCCTGACATTGTTGCACCATATGAGTATATTTTTATGTGGGACGAGGATCTTGGTTTAGAGCATTTTGATGCAGAGGAGTAAGTGCAATTCACCTTTCTGATTTAATTGAAAATATTGTCAAAATGAAATAAAATGTGAAGCTTTAATTCTTCTCTGGTTCAGATACCTTAAACTAGTAAGGAAACATGGTCTGGAGATTTCACAACCTGGTTTAGATCCAGATAGAGGGACAACATGGGCAATGACAAAGAAGAGAGATGATTCCGAAGTTCATAAGTATGTAAATCCTTTATCTATCCTCGCTTGATAAGTAAAGCTTATCCCTTGTAGCTTGACTATTATCTCTCTTTGTTCTCACATACTGTAGGGATACTGAGGAGAAGCCTGGCTGGTGTACTGACCCACACCTGCCGCCTTGTGCAGCGTATGTAAAGATGACAAAGTCAATTTTTATGTGATTACAAGATGATTCATTTTCTCATTACTCCTGTGTATATACTTAGGATTTGGTTTTGATGCTCTCACCTTATATATTTAATGAGCAGATTTGTCGAGATTATGGCAACTGTTTTTTCTCGGGATGCTTGGCGTTGTGTTTGGCATATGATTCAGGTGTGAAGTAGTGAAATTATTTATCCTTTCCAATGCTGTTCATCTAAACTACTGTGTCTAAAATTCATCATATTGCAGAATGACTTGGTTCATGGATGGGGTTTAGATTTTGCTTTGAGAAGATGTGTTGAGGTCAGTAACCACTTTCTCCTTCCGAGTTAACGACTTGCTTTATTCACTCCAATCATTTATGCCTTTTCTGACTCTGTTTGGGCACAGCCTGCTCATGAGAAAATAGGAGTTGTAGATGCACAATGGATAGTTCATCAAAGTGTTCCATCACTTGGAAACCAGGTAAAACCTAAGCTATCATCTAATGTGAATAATTTTGTTTGATGTGCAATATATTTTAGTGAACTTTTTCGTATTTCCACAGGGTGAAGCAGGCAGTGGCAGGGCACCATGGGAAGGGGTATGTAATGAATTTTTTTCCCCTTGTACTTGCTGCTAAATCTCTCTCTCTCTCTCTCTCTCTCTCTCTCACACACACACACACACACACTCACAAAAGATCGACAGCTATATGAATAGAATTGAAGATCTGCTATATATATATTTTTCTCGTTAGGTGAGGGAAAGGTGTCAAAACGAATGGAAAATGTTTCAAGATCGACTGTTTGGTGCAGAGAAAGCCTATTTCGAGTCGATTGGAATTGATCCTTACAATTCAACAAATCATTAGAGCGATGGACATATTGGCTACAAAAACATGTTATAAAAATAACCACATTATGTAGAAGTGACTTTTATTGTTCCTGCAGTTTTGACAGACATGTTTCTTGTATGATTTAGTCATGACATATCCCTCATTGTTTTCTATTTATTGATTCTTTCACAGAAATTCATCATTTTTTTTTTTTTTTTGTGGTCTTCTTATGTTTGTTCTTGAAATTCTTTCTTGAACTGTTCTTGAAATTGATCCCAGATTGTGGACTTGCATTTCAGTATATATTGTGCAAGAGTTCACTGGTTCCTTTGAGCATATAAATTTTAACCCGACAAAATATTAGCTTCGTAAAGAATATGGATTTACTTATCGAAGATAGCTTTAGAAAATTCGAAATCGTGATTAGGAAATGCATGAAAGTTAAGACACCTTTTCTCATAACGGATCTGAAATGAAATGAGCTGCTCAAATATATACACTGGCAATAAAAAATTGTTATTTCAGTCCTTCAGATTCTAGAATGGAATCTGAAGTTATACACCCACATACAAGCTCTCCAAATTTCTGGAAACGGACAACAAACACAAAATTATTAAGGTTGATTATGGAATCTGAAGTTTTACACCGACATACAAGCTCTCCAAATTTCTGGAAATGGGCAACAAACACAAAATTATTAAGGTTGATCCGTACAGAGTGTGAGTGTCCCTTAAATACCCATCACTGTGTCATGTTTTCTTCCAATTATAATGTGGGAATGAATGATGAAACCACTTGAAAAATGGCAATGAATGGGGGAGCGACTGGTATACATCTTCAGATCTCCAATGATATTGCCGTGGCTCCAAAAAATTTTGAGGTAGCAATAAATTATCACGTCTAGTTAGAAATAATTTTTAGTTATTGCCTCTTCCAGTTCTTTGAACTCCCATGCATCATCTGCCAAGTATTCTCCTGTAACAAAAAGAGTGTGTCAACAAAGAAGTACCGTTTTTTGGTAAATGTTGCAAAATTTGCGTTTGCGTTGGCCAAGGAAGGCATTCAGTATTCACTGTATTTCAATTTCCTTATGCTTTGTGTAATTGTTGAGGAACCATATGGGAACGATTCTTTTTCTGCCCTTTAAATGTGCAAAACACAAGCAAATACAGTTCCACTGATTTTTACACACCTTTAGAATAATATGGAACCGTATCAAGTTGCCAAACAACTGTGAGCCGCTATTTTTAGCATAAAAATAAATAAATTAGCTAATTCTTATTCCTCTCTCTCATCCCTCATATATTTGCACCATGATGAAAAAGTAAACCTAGAGGATATGCTTAATCATCACTTAAAATTTTCAAGAATGAGGAAAGGCCCTTACCAATTGAATCTCTTCGAAGAGCAGTTAAGTGAGCACAGCTGCAAGTGAAAAGTCAAGTTAGAAACAACATTAATTTTAACTTTTTTATTTTATTCTAAATCTAATTTTAATAAAGGGGCCTTCCTTCCACTTTTCAAGAAAGAATGAAAAACTAGCTCGTGGAATATCTTTATTTTCTGTTTGTCGTTGACATGTTACCTTCTCAGTTTTCTTTCCTTTCTTAAATTTACTTTTTCTTCTGGTCTAATTGCAATCCTATTTCACTCATTATGAACACTGGTGCCATCAGGTCAGAAATTCATTAGGAAGTTGGAAGCAAAAGATTGTCAATGATTTCAGAAGCCCAAGACAACTGGCCAAGCATAAATTAATAAAAGTGTCCATTGAACCAAGGTGAACAAAGTATACCTGCCAAGAGCCTTCCCAAAATCTGCACATAGCGATCGAATGTACGTTCCTTTAGAGCATACCACTTGGAAAATCAAATTTTGTCTGTAATAATCAAAAAATCTTATTCAGGTTCAAATACAGTTGCCTAGTGCCTAGGTAGTGAACTTATTACTCAGTGACAATGTCAAAGCATATCCATCATTAGTTTGCAGAAAACTTTTCCCACCATGAGCATTATGATCGAAAACTACGTAAACATAACACTTTTTCAGTTTCCCACCCAGAGCAGATGGAAGAAATGCAGAAGAGTTTACTGGAGATTAGAAATAAATTTCAGTTGTTCATGGTAATCAAATTATCAGAATGGTCAAATCAAGAACAAAAGTTTACCATTCCATTCATATTGGTTTATTCATTTATAAAAATATTTCAATCTCAGAGTTCAGGTTACATTACAGTGCAGGTATTAATAAGCCACTGGTCAGTTATTAGATGATTTGTACCTAGTTGTAATTATCAAATCTTGCACCACCAATGCTGCTAGTTTTATCAGATAATCAAGAAACTAGCTGAAATGCCAATAGTTTAGCAAGGGTGCTAATGAGTATACATTACTGATCAGTGTTTCCAGTAAAATTTTCTATTTTGAAAAGGATAAATGGCTACAAATTAGTCACAAAGGGCATAAGTAATGAACTGATGATAGCAATTGACTGTTCCTTATCATTTCAGATAAAAGGAATATTTAAATTCAACATAGCACGCATAAGGTGCAGCATACATGATGCACAGCATACATGGGGAACAGAATATCCAAGTGAAGCTACAACACGGAATTACCAACGGGCAAAAATACAGGACAGAAAAGTGCATGCCAAGTAAACCATAGATTTTCAGTAAAATAACAAGAACATATGATGACGATGAATCAAAGAGAAGAAATTCAAGACACAGCTAGTGGCTAATGTATAGGAGCATGCTTCTGCTTATATATTCAGACAAAAATTGAAAGAACCTGTCCTCCAAGCTTCGCTCTATGTTGAACTGAAAAATTGAAATTCTTCTGGGTGAAAGCTCAACACTTTCTCCTCGCCTTGCTTTATCATACATCTTTTCTCCTCCAACCTATCGCAAGGTAGAGAAACTCTGAGCAAATAAATTAGGAGCACATAAAAGAGTCTTATCATTTAAATATGCAAGCATTTCACCTCCATTTTTCACCTATACACCAAAAAGAGGTTGACCTGCTTTTAAGAAAATCATCACTTCAATGCATGCAAAAGTGGATGAAAAAGCAACTCTGACTCCAATCCATTTTGAAAAAGAAAAAAAAAAAAAATCAACTTGCAGTTTTCAGAAAGCATGTGAAACAGCAATGCCAAGCAGAAACATCTTTACTACAGAATTTTCAATGCATTTAGTAAATGTTCATCAGTCCAGAGTTCTTAATTTTAACAGGGTGTCATGCAATAATTCAGAAGTCAAAACCAAGTTTAAGAGACTAGACCAACAAGCCAGAATGCATTTGCATAGCTTTGTTCGGGAGAAATCAACATCACATTTAGAAAGGAGAGGTTCCAGCCTTGGGTCCTCATATTAGTTAACACTGACAATTCAAACCCTGAAAAGATGATATGCCATCAATATTCTTAGATGCAAGTTATTGCAACTATGACAGATAAAGGATTTATTAAGTGTGAACAACGAAATCTAGAAGCATAATTGAACAGATAACCAATTTTAACATTTAGAATGGTCTCCTGAGCCAGCGGAAAACAGATGTGAAACAGGTCATATGCCTACTATGCTCCTACTCGTAATACTTGCATGCATTGGATACTCTCACTGGTTAATATTACCAGCCACTGTCATTTACAAAATTTTTCTGAAAATTCAGTTCTGTTTTATTTTTTTTCTTTTTTTTTAAATGGCTATGGGCATATATATTTTTGTATCTTGAGGACCAGAAGCAAGGATCTGTTAGAAAGAGCTTAGCTACTCATCCAGTTAATCGACAACTATACTGCAGAAATCTTACTTTGATGGCAGAGAACATTGGAGGAACTTGCCATATTTCACCACAAAAAGATGCAGCAGCTTTTCTTATGTCCCCATCTTTGATATGCTCCCACGGCTCACGCTGGATAACCTAAATGACAGAACAGTTTACAAGTAAAAATTGGGATGATGCATTTAAGTAGATTGAAAATTAAACCATCACAGTCAAATTTTAGTCATATCCAACCAGATGATTTAATAGAGATCAAGTGTAAAAAGCTAGAATCCATATTCACGCAGTATATAACCAATTGAAATCGATCAAATTACTGAGTATATTCAATGAAATAAGTATCAAATTCACCATTATTGTGCATTCACTATTGGGTATATGTCTTTTTTCCCGTTAGAAGACAAGACATGAAACAGCATACTACGCACATGTCTTAGTTATTAATTCTTCAAAGTAAAGGATAAGTACAACAAAATGTCAGAAAGCGCTTAACTATAAAACACAATCAGCAGCTGTTACTCAAAATATAACACACACCGGTGAATCAGCATCCCAAGTTGACGTTGCCTCCCCTAAACGAAAAACTCCACTATAACCCTTAATCATACCTTGATATCTGCATGAAAATTCAAGTTCTTTAGAGGAGCATATTTAAGAGAGAAAAATATATTGAAGCTCTAGTCTTTGGACCATAAGAGGGATGGAAGAAAACGGGTCCTGTCTGGGAGTGTTGTAAATTGATAATTGAACTAGTCTACCAAAGGTTAAAATTCAATATTACCTTTCTACCAACTTAGTGGCTCTGCCAACACAGACAATCAATAATCCAGTTGCCATAGGATCAAGAGTGCCAGCATGCCCTACCTGTAATCAAAATTAATGAATTTAGTAAAGTTACACCCATTGTGCAGAAAAAATAGCAACTGAGAATAAAAAAGAGACCTTTTGCACTTTGACTAGGCGGCGCAGCTTTCCACAAACTGTGAATGAAGTCCATCCTGGTTTGAGATACCATAACATTACTTTTTGGAAAAAATATAAACATAACGGTTGACGTTTTTTACATTTCACTTTTAACTTCCAATGAAATCCCAACTACAGGCATACAGAGAGATTTCAGAATTTTGATAAACAGTCCTGCTGAAAATTTCTGGATATCTAGCACTACACCAAGCTAAAAGGAATAATTGAATCCATATGGCTTTTAACAACTAGACTTAAATTGGGTTGAGTTGACGGTCTTGCTCATTCAAAGTAGGTAACCGAGGAAACATTATGACGTGTTGGATAAATTAGATAATAATATAAATAATAGTCTGTGCTATGCGCATTGCACACAGCCTAGAAGCTACAAGGATAACTGAACAATTAGTATTTCCTGTTCTTTTAGATGCGTCAAAACTTCTTGAAGAATCGAACTATCAACAAACAAAAGTTCATACAAAACCAATAAATCCAATAACATAAGAGCGTTTGAACTCACCTTTAGGCTTATTCACCAAAACCACAGTTCCATGAGGACCATCCCACCTAGGTGGAAGCTCAGTGCTTCTTGTAACAAGATAAGGTTCTCCACTGCCAACTTCATTATTCTTATTGGGAACTTTCTTCAAACACTTGAAGAACTCCTCCACTTTCCTCTCTGTAACACCTTTATTTACAGGACTCTCTGAATTTGTCTTTATCTCATCCTTCTCCTCAAAGAACACCAACCCTTTGTCTACCTCTTTGTCTCCAACCCCATCATCTCTCTTCTCTCCTTTCTTAACACTACGAGTCCTTTTTCCTTTCCCATATGGATTCATATCAGACTGGCTAGGATCTATAAATGCCTTATCAAAACATTGGTCAGGAAAATACTTCTTCTCCAACTGATAAACCATCTTGTAATGCTTATCTTTCTCCCATGGATAAGCAAATGTATCATAAAAATACAATTCCTCCTCTCTCTTATGCAAACTATTAAACTCTATAACTTCAGGCTTCAATTCTACAAAACCTTCTTCTTTATTTCTACTTTCCTCATCAGAATCTGACCCATACATTCTTTTCCTCCTCTTATTATAATACTTTCTCTTAGACTTATCCATCTCCTCATTATCTCTATCAACAGATAATTTCTGCTCGACCCAAGAATCAAAACCCGGTTCAGAATCGGGGTTCTGGGATGAGTCTGATTCAGGCGTGATATCTGACTTTGATTTACTGAGTCGTGTGGGTGGGCGACGAGTTTGTACATGGGAGGACTGAGTTGGACGGTTGATAATCATCTCGTATTGAAGAGGGTAAGGAGTCGATGTAGAGGAGAAGATTCTGTTTGAAAACGAGAAGACGAATTTGTTCAAAGATTTGGGCTTTAAGGGTAATATGAATGGGGAGAGTGTGGATTTCATTGTTTTTGTTGATAAAGTCATGGGTTTTGAACAGAGAACGAGCAGAGAAAGAGATCTATTTGCCATTGAAGAAATAAAGGTAGGTGTAGTTTCTGGGTTTTAGCATGGTTTTGGCCTTTCCTTCAAATGGAAAAGAAAACACATATCCTGTAATGCTATAGATATTTTAACCTCTTTGTTTATTCATTTAAATATCTATCATGTTTTCCATATTTCCATGGCTTTCTCATATGAGTAAACGAATAATTATCTCTCAGATTTTATGGTAATTACAATTTCAACTTCCTTATTTAGCATATAATCATTAAACTATTCAATTATTTTGTTAAGAAAAAATATCTAAATGCAAGAAAAATTATAAATTTAATTTTTTTATATTTTAAATAAAAAAAAAGAGATTTAAAATTTGTTCCAAATATAATTATATAAAATTCAATTGAATATATATTTTAAATTAATAATACTAAATTTTTGTTTGGAAATCAATTCACATTTTAAAACCATATTATAAAAAAGAGCTAATATAATGCTATTTTTAGGCTTTGATCCTGTATACAATTTTTGAAAGAGAAAATTAAATAACCTAACAAAATCAAAATTTAAGAACTAATCAGTATTTTCTTTTTGTTCAAAAAAAAAATCAGTATATTTTTAAAATAAAAATATGATGAAATTGTTAATCTGTTAGTATTAGGATCACAGTACATGACTTAATGATTAAATAGTTATTTATCCGGTCATTTTAATTTAATATAAAATCTACCGAATTGGCGCTGCCTCCGTCGCCGACTCTTTAAATATTTCAAAATTTTTCAGTCGTAGGCATTTTCGAATTTTGGAGGGTCGCTTCAAAATTTCCCGGTTCGAAGTTCATGGACTTAGCATCCACAGCTTGGGGGGCCGGCGAGGGGGAGGAATGGGAACTCCGCCACGATGATGATGGCTTCACTTACAAGATTCTCAAGCGCCAGCGCCTCCTCGACCCAGCCGCCGGCGCAGTTCAACCTTCTCTCACGGACCCCAAGGCCGAAGAGAGGCACCGAAGACAACGAAAGAAAAATGCCCTCTTGAAATTAAAAAGTCAGTATCAGAAGGAACTCGACCAGTGGGAACTTTTGTCGAGCACATTGCAAGCAATGGAAGAGAAAGCGAATCAACAACTTGAATTGCAAAAACGACAGCAAGATGTGGGCAAAACGGCGTCTTCGTCTTTGGAATCAAGTTTGACGCCCATGGAGGGATCCGAAAATGCTTGTGGGTCATTAATCGATGAGCTCCTTTCGCAGGTAATTTGGTTGTTTGAGATTTGATTGTCGGTTTTAATTCTTTGAATTTGGATTTTTTGTGCCTAACTCCTTTAACTGAACTTCCACTTAAATTGTTGAACCAGAACGACAAAAATTGAATTTGTCCATTTTTTAAATCCAATTTTACACTAAGATTCTGTTTGAATCTTGTTTGCAATCTGCTTATAATTCAGAAGGAACATGTCAGCTTCTGTGGATTGGGTGTGTGGCAGGGAAAGTGTGGGATTTTAGTAAGTCTAAACATTTTTGGTCTCATAAATTGAAAAAAATGTAATTTTTCCCATCATTCTCCAAATTCCACAAAATTATTCCAAGTGGTTTTTCATTATTGGGAATCAAAATTATTTTTCTTAAAAAATATTTTGCAGAGACAAGTTATTTTCTGCAAAATAAATGGATTTCAGATTCAAAAGGGACATGTCAGCTTAGAAAATGCAAGTGCAGTATTTTCAGGAAGAGAATGGGAACAAAAATTGCATAATTTCCTTCAGGAGTTTAATTGCAGGGAGGGACGCAGGATTCAAAACTGGGGCTATAAAATGTGGGCTTTAAGAACTCATCTATTTGGAGGGGAGCAGAATATAAGAATGGAACAATATTTAGTAAAAATTGAATTAGAAATTCAATGAAAAAAAAAAAAATTGCCAGGGCCATGGCCCTCCCGCCTAAAGCTTGCGTCCTGTTTAATTGCAATCACTCTGCTTTGAGTCCTACAATTGATCTTACATTGGCTTCACTGGACCGTAAATCCCGTATAAAGGGGGTTTTTTTCTTGGCTGAAATATAGTTTTGACTCTATTTGGTTAATTGAAAATTGCAGGCTGAGGCTCAAGAAGCAGTAATCCGTGATGTATCATACTTATGTGATATAGCAGAAGCAATGTGCAGCGCTCAAGAGGAGTGGCTAGCACAATCATTTATTGATCTCCCAGTTTGGTCTTCTCCTCGAAAGCTTATCGCTTCGCTTTGTGATGAGTAAGTTTAAGTTTGGTTTTAGTAGTTACTATCTTAACTCCTGGAAGGAAATATGTAAAGCTTGTCCTGCAAAAGTATAAGTCCTGTTTAATTAAAAAGGACGCTATTCTTGTATAAGACTTTAAAGTTATCTTCTTTGTTGTAGATTTCTACATTTGAAAGATAGTTTGTTCATATTTTCAACTATATTATCTGATTGATCTTGTGTAATTGAGGCTAAATATGGGAAAATTTTAACTATTCCTTGACTGTATTCCTTGAAATTTCAATATTAGTTGAATTAAGGGGGGTTTAATATTAGTTGCATTGCATATAATATAATTGTCAATTTTCTGAAAATAATTTACAGTTCTTGAGTGAAACCTGAAGAGTATTTAATCTATTACTTGAATGGTAATTATTGAGATTAAATTAAATTCTTGTAAAATCTTCATTGAAAAATCAAAATAATATGTGTACTTCTCTAGTGTAAACTTTTGTCAAATAAAGACTGTTCCAGCATCAGTTAGCTCCTCAAAGCAAAAAACTTTATTAAAAGCTACAAACTCCAAAATTTTCCTATTGAGACAGGGTCTTGAGATCTTCCTCATTAAGACGAGAAGGAACAACTTGCACAGGTTGAATGGAAAAACCAGCTTTCTGGCAAGCATCCTCCAGAAGCTTTACTTGCGAAGGCCCATCAGGGCAGAATACAACAACAGCTCCTCCACTACCCGTAAATTTTGAAGCAGCTCCTACTCTTCGAGCCACTTCCACCATTTCTATGTTTAGAGCACCGAGAACATCATCCCCGAACATACTCCTGTACAGTATTACCATATAAGATAGGGTAACAACAATTTAACATTATGAATCATCCTGCGAAAGCATAGCCATTTATTGCAAAATAATGCAACATCGAAAATTGGTGATGATATGCTATTCATTTCTCTTCTTATTTTGATGAGATTATGTGGCTATTCTACGTGTTGTCAGCCTCAGGAACCCATGCTTTAAGTAAATCAAGAAATAGGAATAAGCTATATTCTAAAACAGAAAAGTATACGACTCATCTGATCAATTTTTATCTGATATTTCCAGAGTCCAGATGAATCGCTCTTTTCCAGAATCTGGAATAAATGCATTTCATTCCCAAAGTTCAACTTAATTATCCGAATGAAACCTAGTCATATGAATTTGGAAACACTAAGCACTACAACAATAAGGAGCGAAACTTGTCAAATGCAGAATTAAATACCTTCGAAGGTCAAAATTACGATTCATCAACTCTTTGAGTCTGGCATAATTCTTTTCAAGAATTGCTGTTCGTCCTTCTAATGCTATATTTGCAACTTCTGACATGGATGATATAATAAATTTGTCACCGTCAAGCCATCGTTGCCGAACTGTACTATGTACCTGCATTACAACTGATTTTACAAATGCGGTTCACAGCTACCATGCCAAAAAGCTCATACATAGTAGCGTGTACAAAAAAATCTTACTTATCCAACCAATATGTATGATTAAGGGTCATAACTCATTAACTAGTGAACCAGCTTTCAAAAAAGAGGAATAGGACATCATACAAATGTCATCATTTTGGACCAACAGAGGCAAAACTTGAGGTCACCGGAAAAAAAAAACTAAAACACAAATGAGAAAGATACCTTTCACTCTCACTTGTGTACATAAAAATTGGAAAGTTCAAAATTGGAAAAACCTATATAACTTAGAAAAAAATTGAGAAACTATGCTTAAGGACAGTCGTCAACCAAGCTGTATAATTATTAGTTTTTTGAACATTATTTATATAGATTCAGAATCTCATACCATATGCTCGAAGCACATTATGTTCAAACACGTTTTCTAAGTCCTAAAAAGCACATCTAACTGAAAGTTCAAGAAAGAAAGTTGAATGGTGGCAAATGCTTTCTATTCAAAATTCAAGCAACTAATAAGCATTCGTTGGTTTAATGATTCATGCACAAAGTGCAGCTTATGATATAGTATCTTGTTTCCTTGTGTTGTTTCTTTAGCATAAGAATACATTTTAAATTTAGTCATTAATTTTAAAAAGTAAATATACAAGAGAATTTATATTTGAAAGGAGAAGACAATACATAATGCTAACCTTCCCAGAATCACTTGGATTCTCAGCATAAATGAGATGAAGAGATGGTAGAAGACTAATATCCATGGGTGTATAGATGCCATGCCCCAACTTATCCATATTTTCCTTAGAAAAATCCTGCAGAAAGAGTTGATAATATGCATAAGCCAACATATTAATAAAAATTTGATGTATAGATTATAGACCTCCGCATCAACAATACCCACCATGTAAACGAGGCCTCCATAAACCTGTGCTACTCGATCTTGAAGGCCAGCAACAATTCCAAGTTCTTGCTCTGCGCTAAGAACAAGTTTAGGTCTGATTTCAACTTTGATCAAATGCCGCACTTTGTAGAAATCAAGAAGGCAGCTCAAGGCTGCAGTTACAATGGCACTGGAACCTGAAAGCCCTGTCTGAAATGTCAAAATTATAGCTTTAAGCCATATGTGGTGAATGTGAAGCTTGTTAAAGAGAAATGGATACAAGTATGCAAAGATAACACTTTTTATACTTACATTAAAGTTAACTACTAAAAACCCACAAGGTCTTCCTTAATATTCATTTTGGTTGTTGTTGTTGTTTCAAAATTAATAACTTTAGTCCCTAAAGTGTGTTAATGAATAATGCTTCAACTCTTCAATTATAAAATTACATACTTTTCACCATACACTGTTATTTTAAATTAAATTGCACTTTGATTCCTAAACTTTTTAAAATTTATTTGCATTTTAGTCCTTGAATTATTATTTTTTCAAACACTTGCGTTACCTAAAGCCTTGTACTTTTTGTTGACATATAGGGACTAAAATCATTAATACACTGCTTGAGTTGTTATACTTTAAAATACTTTAAAATTTCTAATTCAACTCGTCCTATTATAGATAAATTTATTTCCTACAAAGAGATGATAACTGGGTCTTAGCCCTCATTTGGATCAACGAATAAAAAATAACATAGAATAGAATAACTATTTCCTGGAATATCTATTCCTAACTTTAGTTCAAATTATAATTGTGAATTTACAACCTGAAATTATTTTTGTATACTTAAGTTTCTAAATATGTAAAAATTTAATTATTATATGCAACTAAATATTTTTTTAAATTTATGTAGCATAAATTTTATGAATGGTAAAGAATATTCTATTTCTTTATATAACAGTATATTCCTTCATCTTCAAAGTAGTCGAGCTTTTACTAGTACCAGATACAGGTTCCACATGAATCTTCTAATTCCAAGTTACACATAGAATGAAAAAAACTTACCTGGCGAGGGATATTTGTATCATAAGAAAGAGTAAAATTTCTGCTATGAAGATCAATTCCGTTCTCTTTACAATGCTTGTAAAAGACTCTACAAATTGCCATAAGCAATCGCACTCCTCCATAGTACCCTTCGCTCTGCAACCGATTCACCTAAAAGAAAATTCGATCATTATTAACTCGATCGAAAAAAATCGAATCGCAATAAAAATACCTACCAGATGATCGAGGGAAGAGAATTGGACGAGATCATGTTTGGGATGAGGATTGATAACGAGATCATCGGACGGTTGTAATCGAACGGTGGCCCAGAAGTTGCCGAGACTGAAAGAGATCGTACGGCCATAATAAACGTCGCTTGGATTCCCTAAAAGACCAACTCGAGCGTATGCTCTGTGCTCTATCGTCGTCGATTTGTCACCCATGCTCGATGTCTGCAATGTGAAACTCGCTTTTTCGTGTGTATGTAGTAGACTGTGCAAAGACGAAACGAGATGTGGACGCCGTAACAGCGAGAGATTGTTGTTGTTGGAAGCGTAATCCGGTTGGGTAAAGGTCAAAATGGAAGATTTTGGTGAGATAGTACAGCTGAGATGGCTGTTATCTAGTCTTGTCAGCATCCAATCATCATAGTATTATTTATTTTTTTGTTGCTATTATTAGGAATTTATGGTGAAAATCATTTATGGTTATTTTTATTTTTTTGTTACTATGGTAAAAATATAGATTGAAGTATATTTGGTCATTAAATTATATCATAATTAATATCATTATCGAGTCTTGCTGTCCATTATCACATACCAAAACTAAAACACTTTTTGAACGAAATTTGCCCTTTGTTTATAAACGAAAAGAGCTAATAATGAATTTAATATTAGAACGTTGTAGTAATTTTTTAAAAAATAAAAAGACGAAAATATTAATTAAAATATAATTTAAAAACTCAAATATATTTTACCTAAAATTATACTCTCTCTCTCTTCTACTCTAGGAGCCATAAAATGATATTTTATTATATTCCATTTTAAGTGATTATTTAAGAATTCGAGAATATATTAATAAATTTTTTAATTTTTTTCACAATTATTAGGTATACTAATGGAGAGTTTTTAATTGTAAGATCGGACAATTTAATAATTTTAGGATATAATTTTTAAAAAAAAATAAATTTTTTTAATCATTTTATTAATTTAAAAAAAAAAAAAGATGTGGCCAAGTGAACAAGAGAATATTAAAATTGTTTGAGAATGTTACTTTATTATTTTTAAATGGAATAAAAACTCACATTGCCCCATGAACTTATAACAGTATACAATTTAACTAAAAATCAATTCTTTTTATAAATTAGCCCTGAATTTGTATGAAAAGAGCAAAAAGTCTATTTTTTAAATATTTTTAATTGATATAAAAAGTTTAAATATAGAAAAAAAAATTATTTTAGAAAATAAAATAATTATAAAAAATTACAGTGTAATTAAACAAAATATTTCATTTAAAAATTATAAAATTCTAAGTATATTTGATTATATTCAATATTTGGTTTCAAAAATATTTATTATTATTCTTAATTATATTTGATCTAAATCAAATATTTCATTAATTTTTTATTATATTTGATTTAAATCAGAATTTTGATTGTGATAAAAATTGGAATTTTTTTTTTAAATGAGCTTTTTAATCTTGTAATGTAAGTTTAAGGATTAAATTGTAAAAAAATTTAATTTTTAAATAAATTATATATTACTTTCAAGTTTGGAGGCAAATTGAACTTCATTTCTTTTTAAATTAATATAATTGAAATATTAAGGTTGTTACTTCAGAGTTTTTCTTTCACTGTAATCAAAAAAATAAATAAATAAAAGTTTTTCTTTCACTCTCACTTAGGTTTGGGGACACTATTTGATTTGAAAAGCAACGATTACGGTGGAAAATTGTTGAATTAATTTTCTTGTTTTCCGCCTCCATTTTATTTATATTTGTTAATTATGTAAAAAAAAATTAAAATCATAGATTTAATTTTTTTAAAAAAATATATATATACGCACTCAAATAGAACTTGGAAATTTGCTGTCTTATTATCCTTTTTTAAGAAATGGTCAATAAATTTGAATTCAATATTCATGTCGGTCACTCCCAAGTATAGTCTGATAAGCATATTTATAGCCTTATAATAGACCCAGGTCCGAAAGCTCTCTCCATTTGCTTAAAAAAAAAAAAAAAAAAATCATGTTCAGGTTCGTTTATTGTCTTCCAAACAAATGCACCACCAAGTTATGCCACAATAAAGACAACAAAATGGCAACAGGACAAGCAGGTCTTAAAGCAACAGCAAATCGAATCCAATTGTATGAGAACGTCTATTGCAGACAATAACTTAGTAATCTGTACAATTCACCCAGAAATGTACAAAGCAGGATTTCAAACATTACCATTATGAGTGTCTTGTCAATCTTCCTCGTCTTCACCATCATCAGGCAGCCCCATGTCATCTCCAATACCTTCAAGCAGCTTATCTACATCTTCCCCTAGCTCCAACAACCTTGCACTCAGCTTTTCCACCTTACTCTGTTCTTGCCCTAGGCAGACTAGCAAATCATTCAGTTCCCCCTCGCTCTCTTTCTGAGCTTCTTCTCTAGCTTCTGCCCTTACTGCCTCGATATCTGGACTTGCTGCGGCCCCACCGCTCTTCAAAGCTTTCACCTCCTTTTCTAGAAGGAAGTTGGCTTGTTCCAGGCTGTTGTAAGCGTCAGACAAGCTCTTCAGATCAGATTCCATCTTCCCAGCTAAATTCTGATACATGGATGCCTCAGATTCAATTTTGGCCTTTTCTACCTTTAGCATCTCTATTCGTTGAGATGCTTCCTGAAGATCTCTCCGGAGAGTCTCTGCTTGAACTCTTTCAGAGCCCCCACTAGCCCTTTGTTCAGCTTCCAAAGAGCCACTCCCACCTATCTTGGCCAGGTCCTCAGCCAAAGTTGCATTCCGACCAAGGAGATTCTGAGTCCAAGAAAATTACAAACCGTCAAATTAATATGTTTTCTTGAGGATTAAATTTCTTCCTGCAAAAGTTGTTATAGGTAGCCCGTCTCGAGCCACTCCATAACCACCCCCACCCCCACCCCCACCCCCCATCCGAAAAAAAAACACATAAAAAATAAAAAAAAATAAAAAGAGAACAAAGAATGACATCTAAGACAACCAGCAATTACAATGCAAGTCAGTTTTCACTTGCCTCATGTCCTCACGTCACTACACTGAGAAAAATAAGAATGATAAGAGAGCATAATAAATGACTACCTAACAAATGGGATTCTGGAAAAAACAGGTTCTGGCTTATGTAAGAGGAAGATCAATTCTAAAAGCCAACAGAAAGACAGCAGATACAGCACACTGAGGCTACCCATACATTTATTTTGGCGCCTTCTTTTTTCTTCTGTTTTTTTCCTACTTAACCACTTTCCTTATTATGGAATATGCTATATTATCATCCCAGTTGGTAGTTTTCATTCCTTTTGGATTTCTTCACAAGCTTTACTAGTTTCATATTTAGTTCATGATACAGCATATAGCATTAAAAGGTCTGAATTATTTCCTGTCAACTGATGTTTCTAAGAGTTTTATGTGTCCATATCATCCCACTATGGGATAATAAGACTTGGTTCCAAGTTGTGTCAAAATTGGAAATTGGAGAACAGAACTTGGTATTCTTTCATGCCTAGAAGAACAAGTGGTATTCATAAATTATTTTAAGACATGCATGCATACACAGTGACACAGATTTTAGACAAAAAGGCACCTGTATCTCAGAGCATTGCTTCTCAATAAATGATTTAAGCCGCTTGATGTACTCTTTATCACTTTCTTCGCTCTTCTGCTCCAATTCAGCAGGCACAACTGCCACCTCACTTTTTGGACGGCTGTATACATCAACAATAGTTTCTCTGATATCTGCCTCCAACCTCTTGACAAAGTTGACAAAATAACTATCATATATTGAAGAGAGAATGGGATGATCGTCATTCTTCTGTTCAGAGGAATCCAGCTCATCAACATCTTCAATCTCTGCCATGCTAGCAGCAGCAGATCTTGTCAATGGTTTATGTGGCTCTGCTGGCTTTGCAGAGGAGAAATGGAAGCTTTTCATCATTTCATCAAACTTAAGAAAATATGCTGTGAGACCAACTTTCTGACTTAAGGCATCAACTACAGTAAAAGCATCCTTTCCACTTTCACTAGACTTGTTGTAAATAACACACTCTCCCAAAAGAATAGCTGTCAAACCTCTTGTGCATGCAGTTGCAGACGGATTTAGCACCAACTCAAGCAAATATGTTAGGTGGGGACGTGAATCCAAGAAGCACTGAACTGCACCGGAGCAGTCAGCCAGCCAAGTGACCAGCAATTTCAAAATAATCGGTTGAACATACAAATTCCCTTTTGTATTTGATTTTCCATCTTTGTTTTTCATGTTGGAGGCAAGAGCCAAGTATTTCACCATGCGGTGCATTAGTGGCTCAGGGGCTCCCAAGGATGGTGTGGGCGACTCAAGTTCAATTCGAAGAACCTGCAAACGTACTTCTAAATTAGAGACTTGAAAAGAAATAGAATAAATGAGGTATTTCCTTGCAAATGCTCAAAACCGAGAGATTTAAGTCCTTTAATTCTCCCCTCTTTTTTTGGTGGTTATGAAAAAATGAATTAGTACAGACAGTAGTCATTATCCCTCTGGTGTTCATGTCCCAATTTGCAGATTATCCCTTTATGTGCAGATAAAATTGTTCGACAACTCAGTCTCATACCTAAAAAAACAATAATTACTAATTGATAGACAAATTTGTTGCAAGAATAAGCAATAATTCAATTAATGCTATGTCTATTGTGTTTTTGAAAAGGATTTTCAGCCCTTGGTTCGTCCTTTTAACAGCCTCTTGAAACAAATGACATTTGTAAGAAATTAAAAATATAATCATGACATACAAATTATGCATCGACATACCCATGGAAAAATATTTGTACTTTCATTAGCTAACACTGAAGATGGTGGATAGTAAAATAAATATCTGGAGCATAAAAAGAAATAAGTAAAGCAGTACCAACTTAAGGGGTTCAAGTATTTGTTTCAAAAGAATAAAATAATATGCATCAAAATGATGAAAACAGGGATGAAATCTGAAAGTTAGTACAACTTAATGCATAGCTAGACATAGAATTGCATGTAACCTCCTATACTATTTCTTTTCCCCACAATTAGTATCTTGCTATCCCACACTTATCTACAAACACAAAGAGAAAGGGAGATAGCATACCCTTTCCTTGCACTGTATGTTGTCCTTGAGTACATGAGAAAGTACACTAGCAGCCCTGCTACAAGTCTGAACTTCAAACTATTAGCCAGATTGTCAAGTGAGAAACACAAAGCAGTAGATCTCACATTCTATTCAGCATACGTCAATGTTGAGAGGTCAATTTGATTTTTTAGGAAATAATTCAACTATTTCAAGAATTTGTTTTCCAAGTGTCATTATGACATACTAGAGAGTTACCTCAAGATCCCCATCACTTTCACCCAGGGTAAGACCATGTAACAGCATGCTGCCATACAAATAATTTCATGATATTATCAATAAAAAATTCAATCAAGACAATAGATTAATCATAAAAAACGTGTAAGATTGAATTATGGCAAGAAAACCTGCTTATAGGCAGTTCAAAACAGACTAATAAATTAAAAGAAACAATTATTAAATGCAAGTGAAACACAGCAACCTTCCAAAAGACATGTTCACATCCTCCTCAATAGGAGCACGAGTCATTGAATACGGTTGAGGAATTAATGTAGATGCCAACATTGTTTGACCATCAGGATTTCTCTGGGGAAATGAAGAGTGTCTAAATTAGAGTTTTGAGACAGTCAATCAATAAAAAGAATTATAAAGTAAGATAAGTAAATTATGGATTACATATATATTACAAAACTAATAGATTTAGAACATTCAATAGTTATAACAGCATAGTAAATTACGAGTTTAAAGCAAAAATACATGAAATTAACCTCACAAAAACTCTTAAAAACATGGTCTGCAGCCAAAAACTCTTGCATACTGGATGTCCGCAATATGATTCGAAGAATGGAATTCAAAGCAGGTTCTACTTGTGGCTCTTCACCAAGGACTTTGGTTGCAAGGGCATCAAGATTCTTGGGATGTCCAGCAATCAAATCACCAATACATCGCAATGCCTATAATGTAATTAAACTATATGAATAGACCTTAACATTGTCCATAACCTATTAATTTGATTGAACAGGAAAAAAAATATACAAATACTAAGCATAAGACTGCCAAGTGACTGGTAAAATAAGAAAGTTCATTCCCATAGGATGCACATCATCTGAAACATCCTATCAGTTCAAGAACTCTTCAAGTCTTCTGTAGATGTCATGGCTAAAGTTGTTGTCTTCTATGATGCCAAAAACAATTAAGAAGGTTCAGAACCTCACCACACAACGTACAGCAACTGGAGCCCATTGGCTTTCAACACCCAACATCAGAAGATAATCCAATACCTTTTTCTGCAGAAGTCCAACAAAATTTTTGGATAAAAATCACCGTTGAATTTAGAATAGTAGGTGCCAATTAAAGCTGATATAATCTAGTAACAAACCTGAACCAGGACTGTTTTATTGCTCAGCTTGTTTGTTTCTTTCCCAGGATCAGCCTCTGAACCTCCCATTATCAACAAATTAATGGTTTCCAATGCGCTGAGTAGATTAATTGTCTACTGGCATGGTGTTTGTTATAGGAACAAAAAAAATTCATCAGTAAGACATGTGGTAATGCTTAAATATACCTACAGCAATCAATAAAGTCCATTGATGGAAACAGTTGTGAACATTTGTGTATCAAACCTTCTGTTGGGTAAAACTGTAAGCACTCCCTCGTAGCTTCAAGATTGATATTATAGCATCAAAGCCTATTGTCTCCCTCAGTAGTATCTAAACGAGAGAATTTCAAATTAACATCAGGATATAAAAGTGGTTTAACCAACAAAATTCAGAGGTTTCAGACCTGATTAGATACATTGCTACGGAGAAGATTATTCAATAATTCGAGACAATCCTGGACAGTAAGAAATAAGAGGTTAAGTTAATAGATTATTCACATACTTGTCCACTGCATGAAAGTATACATCAAATTTGACTTCAGGAACAACAAAGAGCCTTTTCAACAACAGACACTTTAGAAAAAGTCCCCTTCTTGTATAATAGATCGAGGAAAGGGAAATAGTCACAATAAGACATTCAAACAAACAATTTAACGACAATTCTGAAAATTTCTGCCAGTGATCCTTGTTAGGAAACATAAAAAGAAAGTTGGATGCCAATTTTTGTGCCCCATCAAGGAAAAATCAATCACAAGGATTCTCACCAATTCTCATCATCATCTCTTGAAGAAAGTTTTTGAAATTTGTAAAATAGTATTAAGCAAATGTAAGTTCTCTTCAGTCCATTTTTTTTACCAAAGCAGTTGATAGGATATACCCGTGAAGTCAAAGCAAGTTCATGGTTCTGACTTGCATGCTCAACAATTAACTTCGGGATTCAGATTGTAAAAATTAAATCTGCCCTAGCAATCAATTACATTACCAAGAATTTGATGACAATTTGAATCAAGAATCTACATATTGCACACAAAAAAGCATTTAAATATTGCAATTGTGTTGTGCAAAAACATCCACCAAGCATATAAATGGTTAAGGAGCCTACTCACAGGGGCAATAGCAACAAACAATTAAACAAATTCATATGTCGACATCGTAAAATTAAGTGGAAATAAATCACCTGAACAACAACACCACCTTCTGATCCTCCTTCCTCTTTGATAATGCTAAAAATTTTCTCAAATGCACCTTCAAAGACCACTATTTTTTGAATCTCCTAAGATTTTTGACTAAATCAGTAAGAATATTATGCATACAGCACCAGCATTGAAGAAAAAAAAAAAAAAAGAAGACAAAGAAAAAGAAAAAGAACGAAAGAGATGGCAGAACAAAGACACAGGGGATGATGATAAGAAACTCACCTCTGCCTCTCTTGTCAAGTAAGTAAGAAGCAGCAACGCCTCATTTCGTATGACCTACAAAATCCATGAATAATTTACTGGAATATAAGAAAAATGGTTTAACTCAAATAATGAGTTATTGAAACAGATTACTGAATACTAATTTCATTTAAGGTTTCATAAAACACAAGTTCTATAGTTTTCCAACAGGCAAAAATATTCATATGTAAAAGCATAAGACTAACAGCAGAAATTCTAGTGCAAAAACTTAGATGCTCTCAACAAGTTGTGCTCTGAGAAGAAATCCTCCATTAAAGCTATGATTTTTTAGAAAAAGAATTTTCATTTTGTGAAAAGCTTTTGTACCTCTCGATCCATAAGCATATCCATTAGCCGAGTTATACCACGAGGAATAGTTAAAATGGCTTCCTGTAACCTGAGAAGGAACTCAGGGGAAAAATATGCAGCATAACTGACAAAATCCAAAAAAAAAAAAAAAATTCTAGGTACAGAAGGAAATATTGTTATAAATTCATACCTATTTGGAGAATTCGTGAGAAGGGCTGTCAAAATTTGAAGAGTATAATATCGTACATAGAAATCCTCTTCTGACTGCCAAATTGCCAAAATGAAACAATAGTAAAAATATTATCTTGCTAGCGGCATAAAAATCTGAATAAATATAAACTTTTCATCTATGGACACAGAACTCTCACCAACAAACTTAGAAGAAGTGATATATTTTCTGACTCGCGGGAGAGCAAATCAGTATTCATTAAAGCTGGTTGAACCTCATTCTTTAGCCCTTTTGCATGATCAATAGGTGTCAGAGCACTGACAAGAGTTTCTAGGGCACCTCGAATCTGCACCAAGTACAGTACGTAATGGAGTGGGGTGAAGGCTTCATTAAGAAAACAAAATCTGACAACATGAGTAGAAGATGAAAAGGGACCAACCATATATGCAGACCACAAAATTAAAACTTCCAAAAAGGAAAATAAAAAAACAGAGATTGTTAAGATTTACAAGTCTGTGAGACCTAGCCTTCATACAAATTAATAATTCTGGAAAACATATCATTAACCAGGCAGCATCAAACTTAAAATGGGGGATAAAGACAGAAAATTAGAAAGCATGAAAAAGAAAAAAATCGGATACCATTTCGACATCATCTCTTTCCTCCTTTAGGACACCCATAAGTACAGGAAATCCTGCAAAAGGGTTAATGAATCAAGCAGTAAAGAATTAATCAATGAATTAAGCTTAGTTTTAGGAAAAATAAAAAGAAGCACATACCCATTGCTCCAAATGCCAGCTGTGCAGCACGACTCTCTGCCACCACAGACTGAAGCTCAGCCATGGAATTCCTCCTGTCCTCAGGCAGAACACCATTGCTTATTCTGTCGAGCAACCTTTCAACATAGCTATTGACACAAACCGTAAGAAGATTACTTCCAAAAGTACTACTAATAAAAATGAATGGAGCAAATGCAAAATTCAGTTTACCAAACATGAGACAAATACAAGCCTAAGGAACAGCGAATGAGAACAACAAAAGGCTTCTTATGAAACAACTAAATAATATCAATTTATCATTTTTAAGCAATAAGAGTAAGCGGGTCCATATAGCTAATGCCAACTAGATGTGAAGTGGTAATTAATTGAGTTGAGACGATAGAATCATTAATATATCTTAGATGTAGCAAACGATTTACATTTTAACAAAATTAGCAAGATGAAAAATTCCTAACAAACTCGTAGCCAGAACCTTAACTTTTTAATTGAAAGTGAGATTAAGTGAGACAGCACAGCCATCATAGAAGTTACAACTTTCATTTCTTCTTGACTCAAAAAAAATTTTGAAATTAAATTTTTAATGAACCAAAATTTTGAATTCTAACTGCCATAACTTCCAATAATATGCAGCCAGTTCTCAACGAGACACCAAATATACATTCTTTAAACTCAAAAATTACACTAAGAAATAAAAAGCAATAAATACCTATCTTCATTTGAAGCAGAAGTCTCATTGCCAAAAACAAGCCCAACCATCCCCTGCCACCATCAATTTGCGAATTAGACCCACAAACGTAAATGCAAAACACTGGTAGAATTGAATCATATACAGATGGGAAAACTTTACAAGAAAATCATCAAAATTTAAGATAAACTTATCATATCAAAATGCGCATTAGATCACAATCTAAAAACAAAAGGACAAACAGCACTATACACCATAACCTAATCGAGTAGTGATTCTTAACTATATACAATGAAATCCGATTCCAGAAGCGATTAATATATCAAGTTGCATAAATCAACTAACATTGAGAACCAAAACCAGAAAGAGAAAGAGAAACGATCACCTTGTAACGAGAAGCCAAATCCATGTTGCTAGCTCAGCTTAATACCTAGAACCAGAGTGAATCTAAGATTTTGGATGATTAGGGCTTTAGTTCATCTAAACAATCTGAAGGACAAATTTAGGATCCCTAACGATGAAGATGAAGTTCAAAAGGAGAAAAGAACAATAATTGCAAATAATAAGTCAATAAATATATTTTCATGAGTAGAGAGAGAGAGAAACAGATTTTGACCGAAAAGGCAAACAGAAGAATGACAGAAAAGAGAAGAGGCTTCAACAGTAACATCAGTGAGCTTCTAAACCTTATTGGGTTTGATAAAGTGTTGGACTTTAAGCCCAAAATTCTCAATTGTATTTGGGCCTAGTTGAGGCCATTAAGTTTAAGGGTTCTAATTCGATTGTAGTGACAATGTGAATTTAAGTTTTAACAAAGTACCTTTTTGGGCCCCCAATATTATGGGCTTGTTTCCATCATTGAAGGGGGAAAAAAAAAAAAAGGAGCACGATTATTGAGAATATTTTTCACCCAAGCATTGAGATTTTTTTTTATTTACCTCTCTCTCTCTCTCTCTCTCTTTTTTTTTTACCATGTTATAACTATAGTGGGTCCGACAGAAAAACGTCCTGGAGTGAGAAAAATAATACCATAATGTAAGAAAACAAAATAAGCTCTGACAAATTTAGGAGACGACAGTTAGGACTTGGAGAGTTGCATAAAAGGACAAGAAGTCCCAAACCCTCCAATTGTTTAATGGAGGTTACTTTGGGACTTTGTGTGAGAAATTTAACAAATCAGCTTAACTAACTATATGAAATTTCCAAGATGATTTTACAAAAAATAAAAAATACTATATATATTTACTTAGTATCATTGTTGTTGAATCTCTATTTAATTTTTAAGTCATACTTTGATTAATGACCATGATGAAATATTCTGTAACGTTATTCAAATTGATGAAATTTAAATATTTTTTATAAATTTAAATTTCCAAAGAAGTGGAAAAACCCCATATTCTAGTACTTATCTAAAAAGAATAAAGAGTCTGATTTGAAAGTAAATGCAATTTCTTTTTTTTTTTCAATTTTGAGGATGATTAATAAGAGGATATGCTTTGGGAATTTCCATTGTCTGAGCTTCAAACACCAAAAACAAAAATTTAGGAGTCCCCATTTGAAGTTTCTAGGAAGCTGCCTAGAAGCATCATTATGATATAGCTAAATTTTAGTATATACTTTCTTTCATTATACAACCAATTGTTTCATCCAACAAGGATGGATCCATTTATATATTTGGACAATTCTTATATTTCTTCTACCTATTCTAATTTCATGCCAATACCAACAACCCATGAAAGAGGTTAAGCTATTTGTGGTTTGTTCTCTTTGTAACTTTCTACTTTTGTCATAAACTATAACAAGAAAAAGAAGAAGAAACAATATATTAGCTCCATTTGTTTCATGGCAATTCAAAATTAATGTAAGAAACAGTAATTTGCTTATAATCCTAATTTCTCCCATTATATATTGTAAGATATCATTTTTAAAAATCAGACTGAACCAACCGATTCAATAGAGAATCATTTAAATAATGGTTTACTTCAATTCGATTAAGATCTTATTCGTAGCTTTTAAACTAACTTTTAATGTTTTGATTATATTAAAATTTTAGAGGTCGATGAAACTTTTCATGAAACGTTAACACTATAACAATTAGCTTTTATCATTTAGTGTTTAACTTTTAACTAAAATTTTTAAACAAGTATATCCATTGTTTTTTCTGCGAATTTAGCTAATTAAATAATTAATATACTTTTTTATCATTTTAAATTAAATAGCTAATTTTTTACCAAATATTTCTAACTTAAACGGCTATATAAATAACAACTGACAACTAATACAACACAAATAGTATTTTTGAACACAATTTAAATTTTCAATTTAAATTTCTCAACTTGAAAATCAATAAAATTTATAATTTTAAATTTATGCATAGCAAACAACCAAAAATATGCAAAAGTATAAGTTTTTATGCAAGAATGATAAACCCAAAGCCACATTTATTATTTATTGTTTGAAATTGTGAATTTATGTTTCCTAGGAACAAAGACAAAGGAAGAAGAAAATATTGGATCCTTCATATGGGCCACCATAAGTGAAATTAGGAGTTAAAATTGGAGACCCCGAAGCAGAATTTTTTAATTTTGGTGGTGAAATGTAAAGTTAATTATATTTGTGGTTTTTAAACTTCTTAATTTTTACTCCCTCCGTTTCATTTTGTTTCCTTATTATTCACTTTTTAAATGTCCTAAAATGCTTACAATGTTTTTAAATTTAGATATATAAATAATTATTTTTTCCATAATAACATTTATGATTGTTCAATAAATGAATAACTTTTATTAATATCTGAATGAGTTAGGGATAAAAAAAAAATTATTGACTCATATGCGTGTTTTGTTAAACTGTGCAACAATATAGGATGAAGGTGTATTATTTTTTATATTTGAATAGAAAAATTTGCAATTAAATATCTAAATTAATTATACATAATTAGTATATTTAGAACATTTCTTCGGCGAGTGCAATTTTTAAAAATTAAATTTGTGTTCTCACATTTATGAGCATCAAAACTACTTACCACATCAATTGAAGACACCAAAATATAAGTAAGACTTGAATGAATAACAACCTAAAAACTAATGTAATATTATAAAATAAATTGATTATTGCTAACATATATAAATATAATTTCAAAAGACCTTTTTACATAATTAAGCATAAGCATCATGTTTGGATTTAATTAAACATGGAGCCCCTCATTTAGAGTATTTTAACTATAAAATAAAACTTTCTATTACAAGAGACAATAAAGAAACATTAAACTGTCACATCTCAAAACATTGTTCTTGTAAAAAGAATTAGCTCCATTACTATGTTGTGTATTGTCTTTGTAAGCTACTCCCACTTATTTATTTATTTATTTTATTATTATTATCAAAGATATATTAATTAATGGCTGCCTTTCTTTCTGCCCACTAAACATCTTTCAAGGTGAAATTGACAAATATCCCAAGTCAAGAGAGTGAGGATTCCAAGCAAAATGGACTGAGCTATCAAGGGTATTGCATCACTTTATTTTAATTGACTAATTAGACTATATTATAATTAATGAACACTTGGCAACATCTAATAGGGTTACTAAATAGGAATATTTTTCTTTTTTTTAATTAAATTTTATATTGAATTTAATTGTGATCCTAGCACAATGCCTCTTCCAAGGTGTCTTACCAAAAATATTAATTAAGAAATGATAGGGATTATTAAATGTTATTATGTGGTTTCAATCTTCTTGTACACATTATTATACTTATGTGACAAGTGAAGGTCCTCCAATTAATATTTTGTTTCTGTTGGCTGTTGGCAGCTTGACAAGTGGACAAAACTGATTCCCTATGGTGCATCTAAATATGCAAAGCAAAATGTAAAGATGATTTATCTTTTTTTAAACATGAAAAGTATTGCTTTAAAAAAATAATAATAATAAATTGGTAATTCATAGATAAAATATATAAGTGAATTGTTCTATCCTTCTGAGTTTGATTGCGAAACAAAATTATTTTAATATTAATATGAGAATTATGTCTTTAATGGGATTGTAAATTAATATTAATTCATTTATAATTCTTTTAGGGAAAATTATAGTACGATCCATGTGGTTTGCGAAATACAATTAGTCATTCTCTGTCTTTTTTAAAATATAACAATTTGTCTCTATGTTTTACTTCCATTACACTACTAGGTCCTTCTATACTTTTTTTCATATTTTTCGTTAAATCAACAAGAAAACACAGAGGTCAAAAGACAAATATTAAAATATTTTACCAAAAATATTACAATACAGTTTTATAGTTTGAAAAATATAACTAGTTCGTCATTGTGTTTTTAACAATAAAATAGATATTTTCATCATTTCATAAGGTACTTAACGGAAAAATGTAAAAATTAGACGGAATAACCTTATAGTTTAATGGAAATAAAATATAAAGATGTTTTAAACTATTTTAAAAATGATAGAGACAGACTAGTTGCATTTTACAAACCACATGAATCTTACTGTAATTTTTTTTATTTTTTACTGATCGGTAAAATTTATTAATTAAAGGAAAAAGTCACCGTATGTTATGTAGAACACTTGTTTAGATGAAATTGATAATACAACTATAATCCTACTCAGATAACTTATTTTATAATAACATGAAATTTTTTAAAGTATTTTTTGGTAGGTCAAGATTCTAAAAGGAAAGAGTTGGGTCTTAATTAATTAATATTGTTAACTATGAATCTCCAAAGGAAGGTATTAATATTATAATTATTAATTCAAATTTCTAATATTTTAGATTAGGAAATGAAAATTTGAGTATCGAATTATTAATTAAACTAACAAAATCATTCAAATCAATCCTCAATTAATTCCTAATCCTTACAATGAATCAAGCAACTCGTCTCCATTGATTTAGAAATTAAATTTCTGAATTTGGAAGGTTCAATGCTTAGCCCTATCAATTGAAAAAGTTTAAGGAAAAGGGCAGTTTCCTTTTTTTTTTTTTTTTTAGAAAAAAATAAAGTTCATCCTTTCGTTTGCTAAAAATAAATAAATAATTAAATGCCCCTTTTTAATTTTAAAATAAGTTGAACTCACCTAATTAACAAATACACATCCAAAAAGTTATTAACCTTTTTGTAGTATTCCAAAAATATTTTCTTACCACCTCTTGATTTTGGAAATAAAATCATTAACTAATTCCATCAATCTTGGAATTATTTGTACCAAAAAAAAAAAATAATTTGGCCAAGCAAACTCTTTGAGAATGGAGAAATGTGTGCAAATAAATAAAAAAATAGAGTCTTGAAATTATTTTTCATGTATAAATTTTTATTCCATCTATTTCTTAGTACTTGTCATATTTAAAATTTCACATCTCCCAAACTTATAATAAATCATTGAATAAATCAACTACATTAACTTTAATTAAATATATCCAAACACTAAATTTTTAAGAAATTGAAATAATAAATATTAATCATATAGAAAAATAAATATGAAAAAAATAACATAATACTTTCTCAAATATAATACGTATTTAAGAATGGAGAGAGTAGAAAATATTATTTGCTTTCATAAATTATTTTATTTAATATTAACTATCATTTTGAGAAAATTAAGAAATATTAATTAATTTTTAAATTTTACCTTTATTTTTATTAAAATACTATACTTATTTTCTATAACAAAAACATGAATCTTTGAAATTAAGTAATTAAACGAGATAAAAGAGTAATTTATGCAAATTAATGTATAGTCTGTTAGAATTTAAATATTATGATTACTTGTTTAATCACGATGCATAAACCTTAAACAAGATGAAGAGTGCAAATTATAATATTTTTTTATTGTTCATTTATAATATTCTTAAAATAAAATTAAATAATTATACATCAATTAATAAAATTAAATCAATTTAAAATTTATGAAAAATAATCAGTTTTTTAAGAAACAAAAAGTTTTTTTAAGAGAAAAAATTACATACCAAATCTGCCCTCTTAATTTATAGTCAAATTAATGACAACATAAGGGCACATTTAGTAAGTTCACTTAATTACCAAAATTAATTATAAACTTTTCATTTTTAAAACGAAATTTTAGACAAGCAAAAACGGCTCCTTGGAATATGCTGCTGAGAACCACCTTAAAATGCCAGATCAGCACAATCCGAGTTGGATACCGTTTAATACAGTAAAACTCACATAGTAATCTCCGTGTCAAACGAATATCAACCGTTGAGCAGTACTTTATAAAATTTTGTATTGATCGAACGGTGAATGAAAAATGTGTCGTGATTTTTTTTTTTTTCATATTTCAGACGGAGGATTAATGTACAGAAATAATGGAAATTACTATATTTGTGAAGTCGTTTTGTTTGTCTCTGTCCATGTCTTCGAGTCTTCCTCTATATATATTGGTCTCCATTATAGTTTATTTTTGGAATATACAGAGTTATAATTATTTATCTAGTGAATGAGCGAATAAAAATATCACTAAAACGGCTTGTGGATTTTTTCCGGGATTACGGTTGCCGGATTCCTGATTTTTCTCTCGGGAAAATTTGGGTTTTCGGCGTTTGATTTGGCTTACAGGGGGTTTGATTTTTATCATAATTTAAGGGTTTAAACAGGATTTGATTGAACATTTGGGGCTAAAGTGTTTTATTAGAGGTTGATTCTAGAAAATTTGGAGGGGTTAATCATGTCTGATGGTTATTACAGTTCGAAGAAGACTGATGATATATGTGAAGATGTTTGTGGCCAGGTAAAGCTGTGATTTTTAATATTTTTGGATTTTGTTTACATTATGATTTCTCAACGTTATTGGACTTTTAAAATTTAAATTCTTCAGATACGTTAATGGTGGTAATTAAAATTGTTCAGATTTTTTATTTTAGATGCAGGCTATGAGTTTTTTTTTGTGGTGTTCGTTTACTTTTCTACTTTTGAATTTTGTGATAGTTTTTCTTTTTGCCCCCTCTTTTCATTAAAAAATCTCTTATTAATAACTATTTTTGTTTTTATGGATTTTGAAGAGAGAATGCATTGGTGAGGAATGTTAAAGTTATGATTTTTCAATTTATGGGTGAAGTTGTTGAGTTTTCATATGAGTTGTTTATGGCTAGCTTGAAATTTTTGTTAATTATGTATAGGTGTAAATTGAGAAAAAATATGAAAATTTATTATCTGGATTATTTTCGCAAGGTTTCAATTTTTTATATAGATTTTTGTATGGTATTTCCTTATATGTGTTTGTTTGACAATATATCTGGCGAGTCAGTTGAGATTCAAATTCAATTCAATTTGTTCTTACATTTTTGTCTCTGCATATAAGCATCCCATTAGAATTTAGCTTTCCTAGGGTTTTTAAAGTCCAATTCTAGCCACCTTGATAGCTTATTTTGAACAAGTTGACCATCTCATATTGGACTTGGGAGCATTTGAATTGAATTGTTAACTCTATGATGGTTGGATATTTTTGTGCATGAGAAAGCATATATATTCATATGCTGTATGAATGACTTGTATTCTGGATGGCTTATATTCAATCTGGGTGTCTTAAGAAATTTTTGTTTTAATTTGCAGCAGGCCTCCCGTCTGGCTTTGAGCATGTCAAGACTGAAGTGTATTCTGCGAGGACTGGATTTGAAGACACTTGTATTCTTATTTGTTGTGGTTCCGTTAGGAATATTTGGATTGTATTTGCATGGCCAGAAGATATCGTATTTTCTGAGACCACTATGGGAATCTCCTCCAAAGCGGTTCCAGATAATTCCTCATTACTATCATGAGAATGTGTCGATGGAGACACTGTGCAGGCTTCATGGGTGGGGTATTCGTGAATCACCAAGAAGAGTTTTTGATGCAGTTCTATTCAGTAATGAGGTAGACATTCTTACTATTCGATGGAAGGAACTGTATCCTTACATAACCCAGTTTGTACTTCTTGAATCAAATTCAACATTTACTGGCCTGCCAAAACCATTACTCTTTGCTAGTAACCGGGACAAGTTCAAATTTATAGAGCCTCGATTGACTTATGGCACAATTGGGGGTAGATTTAGGAAAGGCGAAAACCCTTTTGTGGAAGAGGCATATCAAAGAGTAGCCCTGGATCAGCTTATCAGAATAGCGGGTATAGAAGATGATGACTTGTTGATTATGTCTGATGTTGATGAGATTCCTAGTGCCCACACAATTAATCTCTTGAGGTGGTGTGATGACGCCCCACCTATACTTCATCTTCAGCTGAGAAATTACTTGTACTCTTTTGAGTATTTTGTAGATAACAAGAGCTGGCGAGCTTCAGTTCACAAATACCGGGCAGGGAAAACTAGATATGCCCATTTTCGTCAGGCAGATGTTCTCCTGTCAGATTCAGGTTGGCATTGCAGCTTTTGTTTTCGCTACATCAGTGACTTCATATTTAAGATGAAAGCTTACAGCCATTACGATCGTGTAAGGTTCTCTCATTACTTGAACCCCAAAAGGGTTCAGGATGTGATTTGTAAAGGGGCTAATCTGTTTGACATGCTTCCTGAGGAATACACCTTTAAGGAGATAATAGGGAAGATGGGTCCTATCCCTCGTTCTTACTCAGCAGTTCATCTTCCTGCATATTTATTGAATAATGCTGACAAGTACAAATATCTCTTGCCTGGTAACTGCCAGAGAGAACGTGGCTGAACTTCTGAAGTTGCTTGGAAAATGCGACATATTTGTATATTTCAGAGATGTTTTTTGTGCTTCACACCAAAAAGTGCTGTATTAGACAGTCGATGGTGATGGTGTGGCATTGGTACAGGTCTAACTTGTGTCCAACAAATCCATGTCATTCTTTTAGAGAGATGGTGGGATGAACTTGATGGGTTCTTGAAGTACGATTGGAAACTGTGTATTCCTTGTTTCTCGATTTGCATTTCTTCCATATCTGAGGCATGTCGTCCAATTTTTCCAATGGATAGCTAGCTTATTGCGAAGGGACTGGCTTTTTATGGCTTGGGTAGACATGCATTTTCCTCCTCTTGTTGGTAGCTTATTAACCTCCTGAATTGCATGCGAGTAAAATTGACAATTCTCCCAGGTTTTCTCCTTGATGGGAATTTTGGCTTCTCGTTAATTTGTTTTATCTTCTTGTTCATTTACTAGTTTATTTGTATTTGGCTGATTTCTGTTAGTTCTTCCATTGAACAAATTGCTGATTTACTGATTTTAGATATCAATGCAGATCATCATGTATTTTTCAGTTTCCCCATTCCCCACCGCTGGCTCTACCTGCGTCTTTTATTTTTCTTTTTTTTTATCTCCATTTCTCATGTTTTTATTGCCCTTTTTCTGTTGAATATTCTCTGCTTAGAACTTATAGATATAACTAGATTCTCTTTTTATGGATGAGTTGGATTTATAGAATACAGTTTCACTTGACTGTTCTATTTTCACTTTACTTTTTATGATGTTCCACATATATACAAGGATCGGGTCCATGATCTCTATACATAAAAGATCAGAGAATATGAGGAGAGGAAAAAAAAAAAAAAAAAAAAAAAAAAAAAAAAAATACATGAAAAGATCACGAGAATATGAGGAGAGGAAAAAAAAAAAAAAAAAAAAAAAAAAAAAAAAAAAAAAAAAAAAAAAAAAGAAACGTTCCCACTCATTCTTTCTACTGACAGACTATCAATAGGCAATGGAGGCCTGATATTTTTTTTCTTCTTTCTTTTGGTTTGATCAAATTCTTATTTGATTATTGAATATTCAAGATATATAGATTTTTAATATTTTACCTCCTTGAATTGAGGAAGTTTATGATTCTCCTTCTTCTTGCTTTTCTACTTGCATTTACTTTTTTTTAAACTGTCAGCTTGTATATGTGTTGCTAGATGTTTCTTTAAGCAACAACATTAATTAAGCAGAACCTATAAGTTTCTTCATCAAAAGTTCTTATATCACAGAATAATACAGGCAAAAGAAAAGATTAAGCATATTTCAATATCTGATACGTAGTTGGTCATGCTGTCATGCCTGTTCTTACTTCAAAGTTACAACTGAAGGCAGCAACATATATATTCCAATAAAGCATTTACTGATACAATCTATATATATGGGGAGAAATTACTATTTTATCCTCGTATTTTGTAAAAATATATGATTTTGTCCTTGCATTTTTAAAATCTTTTGCCTTAGTTAAATCCTTCTGTCAATTTTATTTTTTCCAATTAAGTACTGGACAGATTAATTAATTTTGGCAAAATAGAGGAATAAAATAGTAATTTATTGATGGAAAATTATGAAAATTTGATATAATAATGTTAATGGAGGCAAAAGATAGAGACAAAACTCTCTCTCTCTCTCTCTATATATATATAGTTCTTTTAGCAAATTTCTAAATATGCAGAAATGATGCTATAGTAAAATATATGAATAAAATTTTGATATATATATATTATAATATACTATATATATTACTATATAATAATCTTGATTAGGAGAAAATATATAATCTTGATTAGAGAAAATATAAATTGTTTGGCCTAGCATCGACCCATTTGATCTCTCAACGAATGAATAAAAAAAGAAAAAAAAAAAAAGATGATCACGTTATAAGTATTTAATGACCGAATTCATTGATCTCTTTAGAAAATTTTAAAAAATTAAAAAATTACACTAAAAAAAAAGAGAATTTTTCTTAATTGTGAAGATATTGCTGCATTAGCAATCTCAAATACGAAACGACATTAATAACTTGATTAGTGGAAATATGGTTCACCAGTGAAAATGAAACCAAAAAATCTATCTACTGAGTGTTGACTTCTCTCACATCAAACCTAAAAGAAAAAAACTTTTTAAATTCTCCATATAAAAATAAAACATCTTCTGCAAGTAATCAACCTTTTTTTTTTTTTTTTTTTTTTTTGTGAAAAGGAAGTAGTTAGATGAACTAGATTTTTTTTTTTTTTTTTTTTTTCTATCAGAAAATTGTGAAAAGGAAGTAGTTAGATGAACTAGATTTATTTCAGCACTAATGGCCAAGAACTCAAAAACAAAATCCTTGATGTTGTTGAACTTAAAGTTAGATTTTTAATCTGTTTCTTCTTAACTGCCTCAGAATAGTCTTGCTCTGCCTTAACCCAATGATCCACAGATTTCTTGAAAATGAAACTCGAAAAAGAGTGAAGATGATGTTTAATAAATCCTTCCATTGACTTGGACTTTTCCTTGCACAATTTCGTCTTTGGCATTTAATAATTGGATTTTTATTCATCTTAGTCTTTGTCAACAGATTTTTATTAATAAAAATCACTCCATCTGATTCGTTAAATTTGATAGTAATTTTCAAAAATTAAAAAAATATAGTCTCAATTTTAAAAAAAATAATTTACTAGATTACCTTTTAATTAATTTTCATTTAACTGAAATTAAATTTACTAAAAATATATAGATGAGAAGAAAGTTGAAATAAAATAATTGTTACTGTTTATTAAACATTTTAATTTATAAAATTAGGTTTATTAAAATTAAAAATAAAAAAATTTCAATTATCAAATAATTATTAAATAAATGAATACTTTTATATTTGCGTGTAAATTATTAGATAAATTTTTTATATTTTTGAATTATTTTTACAAATTAAAGTGTTGCATAAATTAAAATACTATTATTTAATAATATTTAATGAATGAAGGTAAGAAGTTGAAGACATAGTTGCAGTAGTGATGATAATTCTGAAGTCAGCAATGTGGACTGACTTTGACATTGACCTTGACATGCAAGTTGCAATTCAATTTACAAAGGGCAAAGCCCTAAGCTAATGAGTGTCACAGACGGTCCAGAACCCAGGAAATGGTGACACGCGTCGTGGGTTTGTGACTTTGTGTTAGGACTCGGGGCAAAGCGAGCCATGAACTTGGCAAGTTTTGATTATTAATTTTATTTGTTGATATTTATTTTGAGTAATAATTTAACAGTTTAATATCAAAAATAGTCCGTAATACTATCTCTGTTTTATAATACTTGTCACATTTAAAAAAATAATTTATTCCAAAATACTTGTTACATTTGTAGTTTCAATGAGTAATAAATCTATTTTTCCATGTACCATTTATATATAACCAATAATTATTACTTCAATTTATTAATTGTTTTAAAAAATTAATATTAAATTAAGGATAATATAATTAATTTACTCAGTAATTTATTATAATTTAAACAAATTTAATGATTTTCTTAAAGGACATAAAATTTCAAATGTAACAAGTATTATGTAACGGAGGTAGTATCAAGGAATGATTTTTAATATCCTTCAAAATTATTTAGACTGCGTATTAAACAGCTCAAACCATTAAATGACATTCAATTATCAATTTTATAGTATTATTTAATTTTTAAATAGTTTAATTTGGTTTCAAATTTAAAAAATAGGTTTTAAAACAATTTGGTTTGATTTATAAACTGTTTAAACTTTAAAATCGAACTGAATTGTTTATTAAATATTTTGTTAGAAACATTGCAGTAGAATGTATTTGGTATTTCAACTGTTGGATCCATAACATAACAAAATTATAATGTAAGAATTAAATAGTATAATCTTAAAAAACGAGATCCTTACTGCAGTAAGTGACACTAGTTGTAAGTGATAAACCCCATCTTCATTTCTTTCAGTGAATGTTCAAAACAGAAGCAAAATTGCATCAGACTGCTTCATCTTATATGTTGCCTTCTCTGTCAAAGGGTACAAATACAATCTTTTCTCCACCATTGTCACATTCAACTAACACGGACTCTGCTTTCAATGATATAAGAAAAGAAAGAAAAGTTTGAAAAATATAGTTTCTTTTTGTCCGTCCGAGTGATTCATCATGGAAAGAATGTGGAATGTCTCCACAAGTAATGAACTAATCACTGTCCCAATTCTCATCCAACTCTTTCCGAGTCGTCTTCTTGTTATTCGCTCTGTGCCTGTCATCTTGATTCAGGTAGTAATCGTCATTGCCACCACTTGGCCTATGATTGTATTTGCCTTCACTGCCAGCTCCAAATTCTTCACCAGTATCTGATTCCAACACTGCAATTTCTGAATCATTAAATGCATCTTCGAACCCCGAATCTTGACGAGCTGTCAAGTCGTCTTCTTGCTCAGAATTTGATTCCCACATTGCATCGTCTAGGTCGCTCAACATTTCTTCTGATTTACGCCCCTTATTCTGAAACCGATGACTTGCCTCCACTCTTGATGCTCTCAATTTATGTTCTTCCTCAGACATTTCACTGTCAGCTTCAGAATCTTCCTCGACCATCTCTCCTTTGAATTTGCCTCCTGGATTTCTTCTGAAACCCTTGCTATTATTGTTTCTCTGAACTCTGTCTTGATTCCTCTGTAAATGTCTAGATCTACTGTGAACTTCATCAGAATCATCAGCATCACTCTCAAGATTACTCTCATCCCTAACATCATCAGAATCCCACTGATCACCGTCCTCGGACATGTCACTATCCTCATCTCTAACAGCACTCCTCCGCTTCTCTTGTGCATCCTTCCAACGCCTTGCTCCTTGATCTTCTCCATATGAAACGTCATTTCGATGCAATTCTGGTCTTCTAATCCTTCCACCAAAATCTTCTTTGTTCCAATACCTAATCCTGCCAATTTCTTCTCTCTCTGCAGCTTCTTCTGCAGCCCACTCCTTATCTGCTGCATCCTCTATTTCAGCTATAAAATTGTCCAGATCCTCCTGCTCACTATCATCAGCAGGTTGTTGATGTCCCAAATTATCGAAGGGCTGAGCTGTTGACTCTCTGTCCCCTTGAAAGACATAAGGACTTCCTTCCTTCTTGTCAATAGCATTGAAGAATGTGGAAGCCACTCTCTGGATACTAGCCATGGCAACTGGATCCTCTGGATTCACACCCATTCGTCGGAGTTTCTGCTCTATTTTCTTGATGTTTAACTTCTGAGATTCAAGAGCTTGCTCAAATCTGGCTTTAAATAATGCCTGCAAGAATTGATGAATTACCATAATTCAAAAGTTGTAATACTTTTGCATTAGATGGAAAAAGCTGTGCTTCTATTGAAGACAAACCTACATCTAAACTGAGTGCATATTGATGAACAAAATCCTGTTAATAATAGAACATTTATCACAACCACATGAAATTTGACACGGACTTTAATCCTCAGGCCAAGGATACATGTTCGTGGTAACACCAAGATCTTTTTCACTTCGCTTTCTTTTCAACAAGGGCAGTTGCCAGCCATTCCAATTTGGATGTGGACAGCAAGAACTGTCAATGCGTAACGCCATCTGATCCACATCAATGAGGTAGGATGCAATAGAGTGCAAACTGAATCTTAAATATTGCTAAATCCATTAGATACATCGAGGGAGATATAAAAAATAAAAATATGACAACTCACCTTCCTTTTCGTGAGGGTATTCATGGGTATCAAATTTTTTGGTTGGCGATAATTTCTGCCTCGGAACATGATAATGGTCTTCACATTATGGATGTTTATTACTATGCCCCCACTCAGTCTTGCTAGCATGGTGGCCATTTCCTTTATTTTTTCTTTGGGGAAGTTATCACAGCATACTTGTACAGTCTCATGAAACTTCCAATGGAGATGCATATTCTGAACAACTCCTCCAAAAACTCCACGGACACCAACTGGAACATAATTTCTATTTCTGAATCCAATTTTCTTATATGCCTGAAGCTGCTCCAGTGTCAACAGCTCAGGGTCATGCACAGGGGGTGGCAGCTCTGGTAGTTCATACTTCTTGAGCTTTTGTAGGAGCAAAGCAACTTTCTTCTTGGCCTGCAATGATTTGATTGAAAACAATAATCCGTCTACCTTATATAAATAACACTGTAGCAAGCTGATAAAACCAAAAATTAATACTTATAGCAATACAACCAACCAGAACTTGGCTGCTACCATCAGACGATGACAACAAATAATCATAGACATATTTGACAATTTTTTTCCTGAGTTTCACCATTGGTGAGCATAAATGTCACTGTGTCAGAAAGAGCAATCACAACAAACAAAAAACTTGGACAAAAGACAGGGTCAACACAAAAAAGGAAACCACTAAGAGCAGAAATTGATCTCACAAGAAATGCAATCCTACATAAGAGTTCTACAACGATCTTAAAAATATTCTAAAACACTTGCATATCTGTAATCATCCAGCAAGAGATAGAGGAACGATATGCAGAAAGAGGGTTCCCAGCAACATGTTTATACAAAAGGAGAATTAATGTAATCTCATTTCAAATCATAGCATCTCATTGGAAAGATACTAGAAAAATCTGAATTATATTTATGCAAGCATCCAAGTCTGCAATTTATAGGTCATTCCAAGATTTTGGAGTTCTCATCGAACACTCTATTCCAGGTTGGTGGACGAGTGATTTCAAAAAATTGGAAATGCACTAAAACGTTATTCAAGCATATGATAACTAAAGGCGGCCTTTATATGCCTTACAATGACAATCCAATAAAATCACATTTCTCATTAGCTCAACATAAAGTTCCCAAGCATCGATCTTTTAAATCTTATATGCCAATGTATCTTCCTTTAAATGTTCCGCATTAGCTAAAAGAACCATCCCCAGTCAAACTCAATCGTATTACACCAAGTAAAAAAGATCAGGAAGTCAAAAAAAAAAAAGAAAAAAAATCAAGAAACAATTCAACCAATATTTATAAACTCGATAACTATAAGAAAACAAATAAAACATACTCTCTTGAGGTTGTAAAGTTCCCTCTCCTCATCAGTCATCAATTTCTTCTTCAACTTTTTTGCTCTCCGAATCTCTCTAACAGTTTTACCGGATTCTTTTTGCATCCGCTTCTCCACCCTACTTCTCATGCTCCTTCCTTTAGAAGTAGACATCCCTCGGCACCACCCACCTTTGAAGGGATGATACAATGGTGAAAAAGAGGAAAACCCATCTTCACGACTATCATTTGATTGCATTACATTTATACAATTGAGCTTTGGACTAACATCCTTTACTAACGTAACATGTCTGTAAACCAAGAAATAGAATACCAAATTCAATATAATAATTCTATTATTTGTAATAACCCATTAAGAATTTAATCAAATAAAGAGAAACCCGCAAAGTACCGGTTTGTTTCTTCTAAGAAAATGAAGGGAAAACAATTAAAGAAGTAAACTTTGAATTTTTTTTCAATACCTGTTAGGATTGGATAGGAGAAGAGAAGAGAGTGTTTTCAAGCAATGTCTATGAACTTTCCTCGCGGCAAACATTTACACCGGTAAAGGATCTATCTGGCTCCCTCTCTCTCAATTGTTGTTTCCTTCTCCTTATTTCATTGTTCTTTAATTACCTTTGAACTGGGAATTTCAGGGTTTTAGGTTTTGGGCCGGGTTCTGTGCTTCTTTTGACGACTGTTTATCGGTTTACAGTGCACTGATCATAAAAACGGCGGCGTATGAATGATGAAATTGTATTGACCACGTGTTGTGTTGGACCATTAGACTAGGGAATAAATGTTTATTGTTGGCACATGAAATTTTAAATTTTCTAACTATGAATTAAGAAGTGCATTTTAGTACTCCAGAAAAAATTTTCAACCAACATTGAAAAAAAAAGTTATCTAAAATTTTATATGTATAGACATAGAAAGGATTTTATCACTGAAAATTTTATCACTTAAAGACTTGAAGGTTAACACTAAAGTTGAAAAGTTTGGACATGGATCTTAACAGTTTAGCTTAGCAAAATGGCTGGTACACTTTCTTAGTCTCATAATTTGTGTTATGGTTTAACGTGTACATAGATTAAAAAAATTTAATTAATATAGTTCACGATAATTTTATTTTATTTTTTTCTAACATACCCTTATATTAATATCTATCAAACTATTATTAAACATTTGATTAAATAACGTTTTATTGAAAGATTAAAGATTGATGTATTAATTTTATTTATATTAAGATTTAATTAACGATAATGTAATAGTTTGACCATTATATTTATTGACAAAGAAACATACTAAATAAAGACAAAATAGTAAATTTCAATATTATTCACTCCTAGACAAGGAAACATGACAATTATTTGGGACAGATGAAAGTAGGACAAAAAAGATGAGAAGGGGAGAGTACTGATACATTAATTAATTAATTACAAAATTATTCAAGTTATAGTTTTTAATTAGAAAATTCAAATTGGTATCTCAAAAAAATTGTGAACATAAATGTGAAACTCATCAATGTCAGCCCCTAATATCATGGAGAAACCAATTTTATGATGATTTCTCATAGCATTTGATTATCAAATAAAGGCAAGTTTCATTCAGTAAATAACTAGATATAGATTCTTAAAGGCGTTGACAAAGATTTAATTGTTGCTGCCATGGTTTTCAGTTTTCATATGAGATTTGCTTCAAACAGAAACAGCCATGGAAGCAACAGATACATCTCTAACACAAATTCAATAGTATTTATACAACAATCACCAAATTCAGAAAATTTTTACAAGGATTAGGATGTAGAACACAAAGGCCAGAACATAAAAAACCATTAATTTCTACCAACTACAGCAGTAGCAACTTCTGGTACTGATATCTTGAATCCATAGCTATATCAGTCTTAAGACCCTTGACAAAACTCAGAAGCTCTCATATGAAAGCTTTGTAGACTTCAATTCCAAAAAATCCAACGGGAAACAAACAAGCACCTATACCTTCAAGGCCAATTGTTTAATCAAGCTGACTCTATGCATCTAAAGAAAATGCTGGGAAAAACCACAGCTTCAGCTGCATACTAGAGCTGCAAGGCTTTGCCATGTATCTTCATATTCGATCCAACCAATCAAGAATGCTATCTTGAGAACTAAACTGTAAATCCTGCAGAGAACATGAAAAGGTTAAGATCATATAATCAGATGAGTTAGTTGGATTATAAAGTGACGAAATGAGGCTTACACCAAATTGGAAATCTGGTGGAGTGTCAAGCTCCAGGTTCTCAAGGTCAGCAATTCCATAAGATGTATCATTATTTCTTGTAGTTAATTGATTAGTATTGCTAGCAATGCTAGTGCAGGAGACATTATTTAGTCCTGAACTATTGAAAAGGAGAGAAGAACCATCTAAAATTTCTTTGCACAACAAAGAATCATCAATGCCACTGAAATCAGAGTTTTCTACAGCCTGAGATTCACCGGCCAACCATGTTGCATATCCCACATCATCATCTTCAGGCTGCACATCAGGTACAGGGACCTCAAATTCTTTTTTAATAATGCCTGGTTCCTAATATACAAAAATAAACTTAGGTAAGTATTGAATTTGGTATTAAATGCATTCCACAAAACTTCGTAATATTTACTAAAATCCACAATTAACATCAATATGCATAAAAATCCAATTAGAATTCTACATCATTAATTTCATGGAATTGATTAGACTAGTGAACGCGACTGGTTTGAAATGGATATGACCTGTGTAACTTGCTAATTTTATTCAAATTTTATTAAATTTAGCAATCAATGAAAAATTGCGTCAGGTCTTGCATGAATTGTTCATCTGTCATCAGCTAACCAACTCAACAACTTAATAATGGATATATATGTCTCTTCACACAACAATATATTTCACCAAAATGGCTGCTTACCACTTGAGAAGACGGCACTACCTTCTTCTCATCAGCAACATCTTCACACGTATCAGATTTCTTTGGTCGTGGTGGATTGGGAGGATTTGTATTGGGGGTCCTTGGACTAGCTTGAAGTGCTAAAACATCAGCATCTTCAATAACAGGACCATCACCACTGTTGTCATTTTGCTTCTGCTGCTGATAGAAAATTTTGGAGACTACATATTCACCTTCTTTTTCATCATCTTCGGTCCCCAACTGGTATTGATGCATCACCCAATTGGACTTATCTGGCTTGGACCCCTTCTTTGAACTTCTATAAAGAACCATGATTTTTTTGCAACCCTTTTGTACTCCATTTTCCATTACAGATTTGGTCTTGCCTGTCTTGTGCCAGCGAACCTGCTCCTCATTCGAACCTTGTTCATTATGGATCTTTCGACGCTTTCTTTGTCCAGTAGAGTAAGCATTAATTGTCCTATGAAAAAAATGAATGCTACTTCCATCCTTCTTGGCACCTAAAAGAAGAAAATTTGGATAAATTGATTAGAAATCCATACTAGTAGTTTGATTCATCCAACCTTTCACATTGTTGCTCCTAATTATCCCATTTAAAAAAGAAAATTGGTATGAATTTAGAAATGAGGAAAGTAACCAAGCAAGGAATACAAAGCTAAAGAATAAAAAGTCCACATAATTCAAGAAGCTCAACTTACGGGAGAAATGTAAATTATGAATGGACAACTAGCCAACGTGAACTACGAAGAGTAGGTTATCTGCAACAGCTTCAAAAGTACTGAATATACACTAATGAGCCTGGAGTTGCATTTTGAACTATAAGGTTGCAATTTTCTATCCCGGTCAATTGACCAATAAAAAAACGAAAAAAATAGTACTCAGTGTACATCTTAACTCATTCAGATAGTCAAATTGGTCCGTTGTTTTCAGTTTGCATACAGTACACAACAATCAATAATCTGTAACCAACTCTTTGTTTGTTACAAATGAATCTGAAGTATAAAATTCATTTAAATGATAGAATTTGATTTAGTTGCATCAAATTGAATTCATGGGAGTGGCATGAACATTTTCTCTTATACCAAATAAGAAAACACGAAATTCTAAATGAATACTGCAAAATTTTCGGCATTCGTTTATAAAAATTAATGTGATCAAACGGGAAGTATAAATCTATGGTTCAGTTTTGGAATTAGCAAAAAATTAAGTGAAATATAAGAATTGGCAACTCCTTACCAGGAAGTTTTTCTGGATGAGTATAGCAAATTCCCTTGTCCTCATCTAGAGTAGGAATAAATTCATCAATAAATGAGTGTGGTTTTGAGTTTCCAACACCACATTTTGCTGTTAAATGTTCTAACAGCTCTGCATCAGATGGATCAAACTTTACACCAGCAGGAAGACCAGGCCAATCATGAGAAACCTGAAACAAGAGAAAAAAAATATATATAAAAAAATAATACATTACGGATAGATTGCAAAAGATACTTTGCACTGTTAAACATACAAACAAAAAAAACAATCAAATAAAGAGAAAGCCAAATTTTAAAACTTACATCACTGTTATCTATACAATGATGGCAATTTGGGCATTCACGATGTGCTCCATAGCCTTTGATCTGATAAGCAGAAGTTCTAGCGGGATTTCTTACTTTACTTGCAATTGTTCTACTATCAATAAGCCAAGCCCTGCAATTGTCACATATTTTAGCAACCATAAAAATAAATTTGGAAAAAAACTAGAGCACCTATCTACCATTTCGATTCACAGAAATCAATTTGAGGAACAAAACAATAGCGCCCCAAAATACAATCAAAACCATCAAATAATTAGAAAACACCGCCCAATGTCACTTGCAAAAATTTTATCAATAAAATCCAAAACCCCACCCTCCATTCAGCCATTATGTTAAAGTTTCAGTGGCAGAAATATAGCCCTTTATAGAAGTTCTATACTTCTATCACTAAAAATCAAAATCAAAATCCCCATTCTGCAATTTCCCTTATTTGGTAACTCGAAATAGTCAAAGAATACAGCAAACCATCTTCATCAACCATCATTATTATAATGAAAACCAAAATCAAATTTCAAGAACTAAACCAAAAATGAATACCCATAAACCCAAAATAGAGAAAAAGGTCAGGAGTTTTAAGTTCAATTTGGAGTTTCTCATCAACTAAAATTTGAACGATCAAAAAGAAAAAATTAATAAGAAGTTTATTCAATTAAATCCCTGTTCTTCCTCATTCAAAAACAAAATTCTACTCCTCCAATTAAGCTCAAGCATACCTTGCCATGTCTAAACAGAGACAGAAAGAGGGAGTGTGTATCTTAAGCTTTATAAAACTCTCCTCTTTCTCCACTCGACCAAGGTAAGTGAGCTGAAGAGAGAGATGTTGTTTGTCCTGTCTTCCTGAGCGGGAAAATTTAGCTATTGTACCGAACCTGAGGTTTGGATGTCAAGCATCTTTGTAAAAAACGAGGTGTTTGACAAAGGAGTGTTGTGGGTCCGCGTTGACTGAGCCTAGGTCCGAAGCTATAGGTGTGGAAACGAGCCTGATTTCTGTCGTTCATTGGGAAGCGGGTTGAGGTGTCAATGTTGTAAATAGAAGGAAATTTGACTTGCTTCCCAAGCACATTTGGAAAGTTTTTCAGTCTCTGATTTGTCACCGTACTCTACATTAACGTTTTTGGGAAGTAGGTAGTTTCCATGTATTCTTAGGATAATTAATATTTATCCTCTTTGAAAATAAATGAATTTAATTTCGTAGAATTCATTTATAAATTTAAATTTTTGTATTAAATAACGAAAAAATATAAAATTAAATTAAACAAATTTTTTTTAAAGAATTATAATTTGAATTCAATTTTATAAATTTGAATATAATTAAATTAAATTTTATCAAAAAATGTGAAATTTTCAAATAAATTTCATAAACTTAAACAATTCAAATTTTATGATAAAACTCTACATTCTCGTAGCCTTTTAATTATTATGCTAATGATATTTAAGAATAAAAGTAAATAAATTCTCAATTTTTGAATTTATTCCAAACATAAAGAAATCATTTACAAATAAATTATATCTAAAATTCATTTATACATAAATTCCATATTTGAATTCATTTATATCAAATGGATTTAGTTATTAATTCATATTTTTTATTTTTTCAAATACATTCATTCATCTCTACAAATGGACAATTCAGCGGAGAGAAACAAAGCGTATTTTCAAATAAATTTTATTTATAAGGCAAAAGGTTTAAAACTCTGAGTTGTTACGATTAGCGCAGTATATTCTATCATTATATATTCTTTAATAATTAATTATTTGATTCTATTTTTAACAACATTTAAGGATTAATTTTTTTTTTCTTTCCTTTTTTTTCTTTGAAAAGGAGGATTAAGGTTTTTTTTTTTTTTTCAACAAAAGGAGAGATGATATAGTAATTAAGTTGAAATATTAGAGATTAAATAGTATTTAATCCTTTCCTTTATGAATTTGATTGGAAGTACTGTTTATTACGCGGTGAGATGAGATGTTCAACCTTGACTTATGGATTCTTTGATGATGTCAGGTTGGTGATGATAAATTAGAAGTATAAGGACATTTAACGGAAAGACTTTGGATCCACGTCTAAGGTAAATACCATACAGTTAATATTATTTTTTTATTAAAATAAAAGTATTTATATTCATTTATTGGAAAAAAATATATATATAATCTGTTTTTGAAAAATATACTAGTTTTATTAGAGTAAAATCAGAAAAAAAAAATTCAGGATTAAGTCTCATCTACGAAGACAAGCGTAACGAATGAATGCTTTTAAAGTGTACAACAAAAGCATAAAGTCTCTTGATTTTTTTTTTTTTTTTTTATAATGTAGTGTATGCTGAATGTAGTATTTATAGAATACACAAGGTAAATATAATTTCTCAATTTTGAAATTTATTCCGAAAAATCAGTAAAAGAAAGATCAATTTCACTAAAGTAGAATATAATCTGAAAGATTCATTTATGACATAAAATTCGCGTCCATTATTTGAAATTCATGCGTTATCATCAAATGATTTTAGTTTATTAATTCATATTTTTATTTGTTGTCCAAATACAATTCATTGTCATCTCTACAGATGGAACAATTGCACTGCGGAGAGAAACAAAGCGTATTTTTCCCACAAATAAATTTTCATCTTATGAAGGCAAAAAGGTTTAAATTAAGTAACTTCTGAGTTGTTTACGATTTAGCGGCAGTAGTTATTCTATTCATTATATAGTTGCTTTAATAATTAATTATTGTGATTCTATTTTAATAACAAATTCTGAAGATTTAAATCGTTTTTTTCGTTCCTTTTTTTTTCTGTTGAAAAGGAGGATGTAAGAGTTTTTTTTTTTTTTTTTCCAACAAACAGGGATAGATGATGAATAGAACTTAAGTTGAAATACTAGAAGATTAAAATAGTATTTAAGTCCTTTCCTTTATGGAATGTTGATTGGAAGTATCTCGTTTCAGCTACGGCGGTGAGAATGAGAGATGTTCAACCCTTGACTCATGTGATTCGTTGTGATGATGTCAGGTGGTGAGGATGAAATTAGGAGAGTATATAGGACATTAAACGGCACAGCTTGGATCCACGTAGAAAGTAAACTACCCATATCAGTTAATATTGGATTTTGTTTTAGTTAAAGCATAACGTATTGTATTATTACAGCTATTATTGGAAAAATAATATAATGATCCTGTTTTTGAGAATGAAATAGTGACTGAGTTTTTATTAGAGTCAAAAATTCAGAAAAAAGAAAAAATTCAGGGCATTAATCTCAACTCTAATGAAGTACAAGTCGTAAAACCGAATGAATGCCTTTAAAGTGTACAACAAAAGCATTAAAGTTTCTCTTTGATTTTTTTGTTGTTTTTTTGTGCAAGTTATAGAATTTTGTTCTCGTCCTCTTTTAAAAAAAAATAAAAGAATAAAGACATGTGAACAGCCGGATCACATCTACATCATATTGTATTGTTCGAAGGATTGTGTGCATTAATTGGTTGTCTTTATTTTATTTATGTTTTTTAAAAGATTGGGTTTGTCTTTTATGATTTTTATACTTTGAACTCGTAGTGGCAAAAATTTCATTAGTCATTTACTCATTAATAATTGTGTATTAAAATTTGAGTATATATTATTTGAATATTTTATGTAAAAAGTTAATATTTAAAGAAAATAAAAATACGTTGCGTCCTGTAATATGAGATTGACATGTGGAAGCTCCATTATATGAGTTGGTTAGTTTGTAATTGTTATTAATAAGGGTAACGGTCTAATCGTGATAAATTCTTTAAGGAATAATTTCTGTATATCAATCATCATCAAAGGTCGTTGCTAAGTGGTAAAACGTAGAGTATTCACCGCCGTCACAGTCGGGTGAACACTAACCGGGGTATTGGATCCCGCACAACGGCGCGAGGCACTCATTTTAAAATATTTTTTTTTTTTTTTTGCAAGTATAAATTTGTCTCTCTCTTTTAAAAAAAAATAAAAAAATAAAACATGTGAACATGAGGACAATCACATCATATTGATTGTTGAAGGATTGTGCATTAATTGGTTGTCTTTTATTTATTTATTTTTTTTAAAAGAATTGGTTTTGTCTTTTATATTTATACTTTGAACTGTAGGCAAAAATTTCATTAGTCATTACTCATAAGTATTGTTATTAAAATTTGAGTATAATATTTTAATTTTTTATGTAAAAATTATTATTAAAGAAAATAAAAATATTGCGTCCTTAATTATGAGATTGACATGTGGAACTCATTATATGATTGTTAGTTTTAATTGCTTAATAAGGGTAACGGTCTAATCGTGATAAATTCTTAGAATAATTTCTGAGGACTCAATCATCATCAAGTCGTTGTAGTATAGTGGTGAGTATTCCCGCCTGTCACGCGGGTGACCCGGGTTCGATCCCCGACAACGGCGAGGCTCATTTTAAAACTTCTGGCGAAAGAGCCACGGTGTCGTATTGGTAAATAATGGGATTTTTGAAGGGGTAATTGTCAATTTGTCATTGCACCAATTTCACTTGAGAAAGGTCAGTTTGTCATTTAAAAATAATTAAGCATTTTCAAATAGCTATATATCCAAATGGATTAACCTTTCATTGATTTTTCAAGTGAAGCAATTAAAAAATATATATATATATATATATTTGAAAACCCAAAATGATTCCCATCCCTGCAAATAGCTATATATCCAATTCGATATGAATGGATAAAATAGAGTGGATAGAATATGGATATAGCATAAATCAACCAAAATCGAATGACAGGTAATTTTATCTTTTTATATATATATATATATTTATAAATTTTTTACTGCAATTCTGAATCTGCGCTTCCCTCCATTTCTCTTTTACTTTTTCTTTCCCGTTAATATTTTAAATCATTATTTGCACTTCTTTCACCTATTTTATATATATTTTTAAATCTCTATATCAAGCAAAATATTAGTAATTGGACATTACAACCAGCAACTTCAATTTTTTTGCGTTAACATCATTGGAGCCACTTCCACCTGACATGACATACAATCTTTCTAATTATTGTTATGAATTTTTGTGTTTTCAAGCATAATAAGTTATACGAATTTCTATTGAATTATTGTTATTATTGTTATCCTCTTGACAGATCGGATATGGATTTTGCATAATCCAATCCATATCCGATCCTTGATCATCCCTAACTAGTAGTATGAGCAGCCAGTTCGGTTTTGCAATGTAATTGTATGAGACTATATTGATCAAAGTCAAATAGATATGCAACTCATATGGACCCACAATCAGAAATGATGGTAATTCTAACATATTTATTTTGATTCATGATTAACAGGACTACAAGAGTAGAGGCCTTTGGATGGACCTTCCTCCGGGTGCAACCCAGTCAGAACAAAATGTTACAAGTATGGAAAAGTTAATGGAGATCATCAGAGACCAGACACCTTCCTATTTAAACTGAACTAAACTAGATTTGACATTTTCTTATCAAGATGTATTTCCTAATATTTCAGACTAGTATTGTTTATTATGCTAGCCTAAGTACCTGCGGGGGCGACTTTGTGCCTTCGCGGGATCAGTAACACTGGTTAAAGCAGAAAAAGAAACCTCTTGGTTTGTCTTCAACTGGGGTGTTTGGAGTTTCCCCAGTGTCATCTCTTACGGCCATTAAAGAACTTGTACCGGGAGATTCTGGTGGCAATACAGAATTCTCAGAAGAGAATATCCGAGAAGGAATGACAGGCTCGGGTGGTGATACAGTGGAAAGATACCGTAGGAGCATCTGTATGATCTGGCTGAAATTTGGCCGAGCATTTGGATCCTCTTGCCAACATGAAGTTACAATCATTGCCAAATCCTCCGGAAGGTCCTCTGCACTAGGTCTCACATTCTGAAACAAGTAAAACCTTTAATTATGATGTTGAAAATGCTACTAAGCTATATAATCAATGTTTGATATTTGAAAAGACAAAATCCAGGTACAGTTGAAACCCATTATGAATGAACTAATGCCAAATCCACATAATACAGTAGCAACTTTATTATAAAATGGAGGATTGCCCAAGTCTTATATTTTGAATAATGACCTTATATAAAATGGACTGGGGCTAACTCATTCCCCAAAAACTAGCTTAGAAAGATTACCCAAGTCTTATATTTTGAATAACGACTTTATCCCAAACCAATGTGGGATAACAATCTTGCAAAGTACACACTTGTAGCAAGTTCATGGTTAATGGTTGTGCATGTCTCAGATGGAATTCACGTTATCAAGTAGTAGCCAAGGTAAGGCACATGCTTGGAATCTTGTCAACAACCCTGTGTTCTACTGCATTCATTGACCAAATCAAAATTCCACAAAAAGAGATTTCTGAGGAGACAAGTGTTCAATCTAAAAGTCAGTAGCCTTGTGATTTAATATCAAGAATATCCTCAAGCCATAAGGCATAATTGTAAATTAGCAATATTCATTCTAACAGGCGATCTCTCATCCAACCTTAAAAGGGCACTACTGCTGACTAGACATATTTGTTGTTGTCATCTATTTCTCTTGGTTTTTAAACCCTCAGAAATAATTTCAACTCAAGTTTAAGGTAGAAACAATGTCGCTCACCTTAAACGCAGCTGCATATGCCGCCTGTAAATTTGACATGCCTTCAAAGGGCAATTTATTATGAATGAGCTCCCACAAGACAATTGCAAAGCTGTAAGCGTCCACTTTGTGATTATAATGCTTTTTCTCGCCATGTCTTAATGTGACAGTGCTGTAAAGCTGCCACCGAATATGAAGGTCAATGACTAGTGTTTAAAAATCGAACAGCCACAGGCAAAACAGAAAACGGAATTAATTTTAGACTTTCTCAAATCTCAATGATCAATCATAATACCTCTGGAGCCATCCAGCGATATGTCCCAGTTTCAGCAGTCATCATCTCTGTCAATGACTCTTCTCTGGCTAAACCAAAATCCGCAAGTTTAACTGTTTTATGGTCGACAGTCAAGATCAAGTTCTCTGTAAAAGGGACAGGAAATCAATTCATCATGATCATGCATACAGCCTAATTCTCACAAGCAGCTACAAATGTTTTCCTATCCACATCACCTATAAAAGAAAACATCTTACAATTTATAATTGTCAATAATATGATCATCAATCACAATCATACATAACAATCTAATATGACTCATGTTGTAAATGATGAGTTTCAAAAAAAAAAAAAGAGTAAAAATTTCTCAATAGCAATCCTCAGTCTCAACTAGGCCTTAACCATTCCTCTCCACTTGTTTTAGGACCATATCTTTGTAAAGAGAGAATTTCTGATGGAAAACATCTCCCTAAAAGCAGTGGTTCCAATATCCATCAGATGGAGCTAATTTTTTAAATTACCATTCCTTTTTCGAGTGAGGTTTTAAAAGTTCCCAAGGCAATCCATTTATTTGAGCACAGCAAACAGGAACCTTTATGAAGTGACTGCCCAAGATCTGAAGAAAAGATCTAGAAGGCACCAAGCCGATCGCTCAGATGGTTCTAAGTCTAATTCTACACATTGGAAGCCTCCATCGTGTCTAATACTTGACTGCCTCGCAAAGCAAATCAAACATTTAGAGTTGCATTGACATCAGCCAAACCTCATGTACAACACTCAAACCTTATTTCCCCCTATTATTACCCTCTCTTTCCAGCAGCATAATGCGCACAACCCAATTTATCCTATAGAGTTCACATGCAGTAGCTCAAATTAAGAGAGTACTGACTGTATACCTAATATAGACATGCATATTTTTCCTTGTCATTGGTGAACAGGGGAAAGTTTTAAGTAAATGAGAAATATATCAACTTTTATTTCCCTTGTATACAGAACAAGGAAATTATCATAGGAGAAACAACTTAGAAGCAGACAAGCAGAAGGAACTTACGATAATTTGAGCTTTCAAACCAGAAGAATATTATGATAATGTGAGCTTTCAAATGCATAGGCATGGCTAAAGCCTGAATCTTAAATTCATGTTTAACGCAACTCCACAATAGCATTTTTATGAAGGGACCATATAAATGATATTAACAACATTAAAGAATTAGACTTTGAGCGGGTTCTTTCTTGTCTTCTGCATGCAAAACCTAATTTTTGAATTAAAACTTGGATCAACATGTGATACACAGAATGGGATTGTCATTGGAGTTAACTCTGTGAATGTCAGTTACTTAGGAAGGGTGAGTTTCACCACAAATTTAGAGTAACAGAAGCACTATATCAGACTACGACATCTAAAAATCTGTATTTATGTGCAATTTATGAAAAGACATATGAGAGAATACAGATTGTGATGAGCCTCTATTTAGGTGACACATAAATTCTTCTGTTCTGTTCTACAAGTCAGTCCAACATTAGCATAAAGGTACAAAACCTATAGACTCTAAGTCAAAATATTGACAAAGTCCAACAAACTTGAAACCATAAGCTAGTTCACAGACCTCTTAACAAATGCTAGTTATTCCACTTAATTTACTTAAAGTCCGATGAGCATAAAATATAAGTTTACCACCTACCAGGCTTCAGGTCACGATGAATAATTCCATGGGAGTGTAAGCATTCCATTGCACGAGCAATATCAAGTGCAAACCCAATTGCCACATGCATCTCCAAGCATCTTGGTCGCATATTCAGCAGGTATTTACGCAATGTACCACCTAATAGAAGCTCCGTTACTATCACCATTACAGGTTCCTTGCAAGCACCAATAAACTGGCAACAAATAGAAACCCCATTATTGGTTATATGATAATTTTAAAAATTGTTAGCTAAGACAAGGGATTCAATCATTAAACTAGGGAAAAATGCTCAATATCAATTATAATTAGAAGGCATTATAAAGTTTTGAATTGAAAGTTATTGGTCATATGTTAGTACCTTCACTAGATTTTTATGTTGAACTCTAGATAACATTGCAACCTCTCTTGCAAACCGTGCTTCTCTCTTGGCAATCTCTTCTGGGGTTTCTCCTTTATGAACAAGTTTAATAGCAACATTTTGATTCTTATACCTAATTTTGAAGGAAAAAAAAAAAGGAAAACCATAAATTATTGAAAGAGGTAACAGGACATATAAGCCACCATAACTAGGTGATCTAAACTACAAACAACATCAAAATTATATGCTTTAGAACAAAACCACAACATTATGTCAAATAATCTGATTATCAGACAATTGTACTATAAAGGAAAAGCAACGCTTGAAACTTAATTCTTAGTTTTTCTAAATTGAAAGGAAGAAATAGAAAATGCCCACAAAAGAAAACTGGGTTCAGTCTATAAATCTAAGAAAGTACTGTTACAATTATAAGATAAATCAAAGCTCAAGAGTTGCAATATAGAAATTAAAAAACAAAGAAAACCAAAAAGTTTGCCTTACTTTCCCTCATATACTTTGGCATGAGCACCTTCTCCAATCTTTGGCCCAACAAAGAGAAGCTTAGGATCAATTAGCCACTTAGCATCCAAATTAAACTCTCCAGAATAGAACGCATTACTAGATCCCATTTCTTACACTTATATACTCTATGTATCAACCGATGAAGTAAACCATCTGTTGACTGAAAACCCAAAAAGCCCTCTTACACAAACTCCCTTAAAATTGAAGTAAACTTCAGAAATAGAAAAGAAGCTAAAAGAAGTTAAAGAAATGGGAAGCAATATATATATTAATGGACATGCCCCATATTGTACCCCAAAATCACGCCCGCAGATCCAGAAAAGATTAACATTTGCCTTTGTTTAGGAGGCAAAGAATAAAACCCCACATGTTTTAGAGACACAAACCAACAGATGGATAATTTTTTTAAAAAAAAGGAATTATTATTTAAAAGAAGAAGAAAGGAAACAGCCAACTCCACACCCACCCCAACAAGCTCTGCCAAGAAAAGAACAGATTAATGGATAAAAACTTATGGGGAAGGGAAGAAAGTAGCAGAAGATATGAAGAAGAAAATATCAATGGAAAAAGATTAGAGGGTAAAAGAGAAGGACCCTGATTGGGATTTTGTGTAAGAGAGATTAGTTTAAGCTCTGCTCTCTCTCTCTCTCTCTCAACGCGTATGGAGAAATGCTCTGTTCTTTGATCTATTGATAAAGCCGCGGCAGGATATAAGTCTCTGTCAGACAACAGTAGTGGGCTTTTATTATATTTTGTTTTCTGCAAAGGGCAATAAAAAAAGACAAGGAGAAAGAGAAAATATAGGTGGCAAAGAGAGAGAAGAGATATTGATAGATGCATGATTGTGTCTTTGGTTTGTGTTGCTGGGATTGCAATGACTTCTAGAATTATTAATGATTATTTAAAAACTAATACTAATTTTATTTGAGTATTTCTTTTCTAATACAAAAAATAAAATTTTAAATTTTGTGAAAAAATGTAAAATTTATATATTTTAAATAGAATTATTATGTTTTTTGAAGAGTATAAATTTAATTTTTTTTTCATTTTTTAAACTATAATGTATTAATTAAGGAAACAAATGACTATATTTGGTCATTCAGAACTAAAACGTAATTATTAAAATTCAATATTTGTATCAAAAATTACTTTCCTAATAAGGTAGATTTAGAAAAACAGTGAAATATGTTAATGTCATGAAAATTTTTTTTATATTCTCTTAAAAAAGTTGAATTTTTTTGAATATTAATGTTAGAAATATCGGAATTTTATTTTTTCAAATCACTTTCTTTTGAAATTTTAACAACTAAACATCTTTAAAAACATAATATAATAAAAAATCTTATATAAAATCATATTAAAAATACTTTATTATATTACATTACGAATTATTAAACATAATAACAAGAATTTTAGCTTGTTATTACTCAAAATTATGATCTTTAAGAAGGGAACAAAGAGAGGGAGTGATCAATTTAATGACATAAATGCTTCAAATTTGGACAATACCTTTGAAATTGCAATTACGTGGGGCTTTGTACCTTTGTAATGTACCTTTGGCCTTAATTGTTTTTTTGTCATTTGCACTAAATATTGTCTTTTTAGATACATTAGCTAACATTTTTATGCTTAGCTTGGTGATTATTTGTGTGTCATATACACTTAATTTGATCACTATCAAATTAAGTATTATTGTGACAGTTTTGTCCCTTGTATGAGTTCTTGAGTTAATGGATTCAATGGATGATGAGTAGTTAGATACAACATGTTTCATTTTTTTTTAATATTTGCGTTTTTAGTTTGGACAAATAATTGGAAATAATTATTTTAGTATATTGGAAAATTTTGTAAATTATACTAAATTGTTTTGTATTAAAACTAAAGTTAATAAATAATTGCATTTATAAATTTATTTGCACCTTTTATATTGTATATGTATATTAAGTTTTTAACTAACACGACTTTGATGTAAGGGTAAAGTTACTCCAGTAATATGAAAATAATGGATTCGGAATATGAATTATATAAAAAATAACTAAGGATTTATTAGCTCTTTATGGTAAGTAAAAAGTAAAGGTATAAAATATTTTAGATAGAGATGAAAAAAATTGAAAAACCTTATTCATAATTACAAAATTTATCTATCAAATAGCTGATTAATTGAATGGAGCCAATATTTATATAAAAGCACTATTTTTTATTTATTGGATATATATTTTCTAATGTTTTTCACATTTTATCGTACATTTATATATTTTTATATGGCAGAATACATAAATCAATTCGTGAATTTGTTACTTTAACATTGTGACACCCTCAACTTTTACTTTGACATATATACTTCAACTTATAAAATTATATTTATTAAACAATTTAATTTTCAAATTTATTTTATTGAACACTTCAACTTGCAAACTTAGATCAATTAAACGCTCATTAAAAAATTAAAATTTATTGTTCTAAAAGTTATGTAATTTACATGTCAAGCTGATATTTTGTAAATAAAAGTCAAAAATCTTAAAAATTATTGATATTATTGTTGAAAAGTATGTAATATTATTAAAATTTATAAGTTAAAGTGCATAATACTTTATACAATATAATATTTTTTTTAAATAACATTAAATACGCGCGCGCACACACATATATATATATAAAAGACAGTATTTTTTATTTATTGGATTATATAATTTTCTAATGTTTTCACATTTTTTTACTCGCTACAGTTATACTCATTTTAGGTGGGCAGAGTACATAAATCAATTCGTTGATTTGTTTACTTTAACATGTGACACCCTCAAACTTTACTTTTGACATATATACTCAGACTTATAAATAATTAGAATTTATTAACCATTTGTTAATTTCAATTTATTTTATTGAAGCACTCATACCTTTGCAAACTTAGATCAATTAAACGCTCATTAAAAAAATTAAATAATTTATTGTTTCTACAAAGCTTTGTTATTTACATGTCAAGCTGATATTTTGTAAATAAAGAGTCTAAAAATCTTAAATTATTGATATTGATTGGTTGAAAAGTCATGTTAATATTATTAAAAATTGTAATAAGAGTTAAGAGTGCATAATACTTATAGCATATAAATATTTTTTAAATATCATAATCGCGTCGCGCAACACATATTATCATATATAATAGTGGGTTTTTTTTTTTTTTTTTTTTTTTTTTTTTTTGCCATGAACTTTGTTTTTTTTTTTTTTTTTTTTTTTTTTTGCCATGAACTTATGAAGAAGAACATTTTTATCTTTTATGCTAAAAGATATAGTGTTGAAGGAAAAGCAGAATCATCCATATCAATACAAAAATCTTATTATATTATTATATATGCTATTCAACATCACAAATTCAAACTAAATAATGAAAGAATACAAGTTAAAAAAAGTTAACTTATTACTTTTTAATCAAAAGTAAAAATGTAACTTTGTTGAAATCATCAAATAAAAATAATTCTTTTTCTGTCATTTTCATAAAATAAAATCTTTTACTTTTTCTTATCTACTATCCCTCATATCTAATTTATTTAATATTTCTTAATTGCATATCCATTTATTTTAAATGGGATATTATAATGATGCGATGTTAATGTTTTTAACCTCATTTAAGTTTTTTTAATTTAAATGAAGGCTCCCATTGTTTTTGGAAAAAAAAAGTGATAAATGAAAGTCGCGTGCCAATGGTGGTGGTCAAAGGTGCCCGGTGGTGGTAAACGGTGAGTGTGATAGTGGCTACTGATAAGTAATAAATTAACAAAATATAGATTTATAATGTTATAGTAAGTTTATCAAAGTCCGAAAAATATTTTACGCTCTTGAAAATTGGAAGTCATTTTTCTTAAAAATGACTTAATTTTCCTTTAATCAAAAAAATATTTTCCGTGGACTTATTTTCCTAAATGCCTCAAATAATGAAAAATTATAAAAAAATATTTTTCTACAAATTATTTTATGAAAACAAACGGAGTAGCAAATTGATGGAAAAAAAAAAAAAAAAAACAAGCATTGTAAACTTCCTGATGATTTTCCAAACCTCAAGTCAAAAAAAAAAAAATGATAAAGAAGTGAAAGGTTTAAATTTTAAAATCTTTAACATCTTTCAAATTTTAAAAGTGAAAAAAATATTATTTTTTAAAAATATTTACTTCATCAACTGTTAAATTATTCCTTAATTAACTACCGGTTGTAGCCCAGTCGGCAGTGCAGACTGGATACATAAAAAGAGTCTTCAGATTCAATTCTCACTAAACACACTTGCAGAGAGGAGCGAACAATTTTAACTGTGATTAGACTCCGAGCTAAGTTAGACTGTGATTGGTATAGAGTATAATTCAGACACCGGTGATTTATAAAAAAAGATAAAAATATATTCCCTAATTATGGCAACACACATGCAAGTGGGTGATTACTTTTTAAATTAACTTTTATGCATTAAAATTAAATTTATTTTTTGGGCAAGGGCAACTTTGACGGTGCATTTTCTCTCATTGATTGATGCATTCAAAAATATTATTAATATTCTTAGAGTACTCTCCAACAAAATCGAATATTAGTTAACAATCAATATAAATTCTCGTCATTAATTGGATTAGTCATGTCCAATATTCTTCTTTGACATTGATTGAAATATAAATAATTTTAATTAATTTTTTATGTACCGAGGATCCTATTGTTTCTTTAAAAAAAAAAAAATTACTTTCTTCGTCTCCGTCTAATAAAAGCAGATAAAATTTACCTTTAAATTATGATTCAGTTGGTACTGCAGACCGAGTATATGAAAAGAGTTTTGAAGTTTAATTCTCATTAAACATATCTGTAAAGAGGAGCGAGGCGCCTTAACTGTGACTAAGTTCTGATAATTTAGACAAAAAAGAAAAGCCTAATTTAATTTTTACACGTGTTAAAAAAATAATTAATATAATTAAATTATAATTTTTCTGTAGTTTTTTCTTAATACACACAGTATTTTCTAAATCTAAAAACAAAGAAGATATATGATTTAATTAGTTGTGCATTATAATTTTTAATTAATAGTAGTAATAAAAATATATTTATGATAAAAAAATGAGCTATTAAAAACAAAAATTGTAAAAATTATTTTTTTTAAAAAAATAAGGTAATATTCGGTAAAATCAGTTGTCCTAATAATTATTTGCTGCCTTAATAGTTTTTAGTTACTTTAATAATTGTCCGTTATTTTTTAACATTTTATTAAATATCAAAGAGAATAACGTTTCATATTGTATTCTCTCAAACTTTAAATACTAGTATGAGTAATATAGCAATAAATAATAGGCCTAATATATCATAATACCTTAAACTTTGTGAGCTTTTGTAATTTTATCATATTTTAATCTTTTTATCAATTTTACTATAATTTGACATGTTATAGTGATAACACTCTCGATTGCAATTAAGCATGAAATTACTAATAAAAACATATTTCTATTATTTTTTTTAATAATTTACTAATAAAAATAAAAATTTAAATGTCCTTTGCAAGTCAAATTATATGCACATTGAGTGGGTGACATATTTCTAAATTAAAAAAAAATATAATATCTGAGACATGTGAAATTAAAAGAATTAAGAACTTATTTTTTTAATGAATAATAGTTTGAATCTTACAATAAATTAATATTTTTCTTCTTAAAATACAAATAATATGAAAACAAATACGTAATGTAAAGTA